CAGTGAGTTAGAATGAACTCTTTTAAATCAGTGCAGTTCTTTTGAAGAACACAATGTTCCCTGAGCAGTACCAGACCCCTAGGCATTTGCTGCTTGCCTACAAGACTTACTGGGCTATCACTGGGAGGAGGTCCTGCACAACCTCTAACACTCTGTAGTCTGCGTATCTCCAAAGGAGATGTGCAACTCTTGTGTTGTCTGCTTCACTCCCTGAGTCTTCTGGGGAATAGCTACTACATTGCTGCTTGTTCCAGCACGCTGCAAGTGACAGAAAAGGTCCACGTGTCATTCCTCTGTGTCCCTCTTGACTGCCTTGCCTCTCATCTTGATCTGTAGCAGTACCTCCACCACCTCCAGCTGAATGTTTCCTCAGGAAGCTATTAGTTTATCCTCAGTATCTGTCTGCTGCCTTCGTGTCAGAGGGCACATAATACTGAAGATTTTCCCAGAGATAAGACCGCCCCAGCTGAGAAAAATGTATCTGATCCCACTGTGCTTTCTGCCTTCTTGCAATTGCTCAGGGAGTATCAGTGTATGTCAGCCTTCAGTGTGCACATCATCTGCTCTGACATCTCATTCTGTAGGGTGTTGGGCTTCTTGGAAGAGACCCACTCTGCTTAGATGCTGCCCTCAGCTCTTACTAAGTTTGCCTGTTCTGAGAAGGATGTGTGTTTTCCAGCAGTGGGCAAGATGAAAGTCAAGGGCTCATCCCATTGCCACTTCCTCCTTCAGTTTGAGATCTCTGCTCAGATTGCAAAGGTTATGAAAGTAAGAGGTTAATTCACTTTGATTGTTTTCTGGCGTTATGAGGTTCCTACAAACTGGGGCCAGTTAAAATGTGGGGTGTGAGCTTGAATTCAAGCTCACCAAGAGCTTGAATTCTGTATGCTTTGTTTTGGAATATTAACTTGGGGGTGTATGTATTCTATTTTTGAAATCTATCGTTACCTAAATATTATTTAGTAGTCAACAGTGTCAGTAATCTGCTAAGAGCATCCTGCATTAATTTTTCATCTGACAGAGCAAAAAGAATCTTCTGAATTTTTAACTGTTGGCATAAGTTTTGTAGATATGGCCTTAAATTGTCCTAAATTCTACTTTCTTGAATCATTAAAGCTTTTCTTTCTCATTTTTCATCAATCTTATTGAGGAATGCTGAATAATCAGAACAGAGCAAAGATAAGATTACCTTCCGGTCCGCCTGATTTATTTTGATAAGAACTTTATTTTGAGAAAATCTTTCTGCTGTCAAAATGATGTCCTTGCATCACCTGCTTAAAGCAAACACGATCTGAAAATTCATAAAACTTTATCTCCAATTTACAGTGCATACATCAGGATACTCAGAAAAGTTAGATAAATAATGTTCTATTATCTTGATTATAGCTGAAAAATCACTGTCAGGAAGCTGGGAGTAGTCAGAGGTCACTTCTGAAGTCAGATCAAGACTTGGGGCATTCCTATGTCTCCTATGTGAGATGGTACTGCTTCTCTATGCTACCATGCCTCTTCCCTATTGTTTCCATTGCTGTACCTGTCACTGAACCCTAGGCATTTCATATTGGAGTCCTCAGTGAACAGACTTATAAGAAGCCACATTTTTTCATTAGACAGCATATATCCTCAGTTAAAGACTGCCTGTTTATTCCATGCCTTCTTCTTGAGTAATGTGTGTTAAGGGCCGAGGACTGCTAACTGTCCCTAGATTTAATGTGCCATGAGAATCATCCCTGGAATAATACTTATGGGGTTAGACACTGACATTTGCCTCCTTTGGTCTGACAGAGCAAGAGATTATGGCTCCTTCTCATGTCCATGAGTACCCTATATAGTTATTATGCCAGGTTTTTTGCTTTCTTTTGTTTTGTTTTCCTATTGAAATCTCATAATCCCATTTGGTGTTGGATCACAGCTGAAAAGGAGTGAGTGTGTGTGCATGTGTGCGTGGTGGTGGCCATAATGCTTGTGCAGGACTCCTAAGAGGAAAAGCTGTTCTGGCCAGGTTGGAAAGGTGACGCCTCTGCTGGTAAAGCTCTTAAAGAGATGAAATTGACTTTCTTTTTTTCATTTCTTTCTGCCAAGCTCTTGTGCCAGCTATCAACATGTTTGACCTTCACATGCCACAGTAAAAAATGAGTGTATAAGAACACACTGTCCAAAATCCTCAAATGTCCTTACAGCAAAGACTTCTCCCGTGCAAGCACTGGTAATAATACACTAGGTTTTTCTCTGTGGAGCCTAACCCTTTTTTTATTCATTGGCAAGTTTGCAACAGCAAAATGTGCTCTTTTGACCACAAAATCTATTACTGCAAATTCCCTTCTTCCTGGCCTCTTGAGAGGGTTGCTTTCTTGCTTGTGGCACATGCAGAATGTAATGGCATATTGCTGTCATTAGAACTACTCTGATTAGGTCATTCTCACCTTGCTGAAAAAGAAGGGGGGATTTGTTGTTAGTTAACACAGTTTGAGATTTCATGCTCTTGACTGTCTCGTTCCTCTGCCACTAGGCAGGTGATCTGTCATCCTGCTTTCCCCTTCCAGTGTCCCAGCACTGTTCTTTGGCAGAGAACATTGAAGAGCAGGACTTCCCCATTCTCACAGTCATCTGTTCTTCTAATTCTAAAGCCTGTCTTCATGTTGCTTTGTCCCGTTTCCTCCATTTTCCTCCTTATTGCTTACACTGGACCTGCAATTTTCTGTACTTCTGCTTCAACACAATGTCTTTTGAATGTCTGCTGATGAGTGCTGTTCCTCCTGCATAAGCCTGTGCTCTCTGTGCTGCTGGTCAGTTATCCAGTGACAAACATTGCCTAAAAACATAATTGGTGCCGCAGACTCCGGGTGAAAGGGGCACAGCCAGAAGGACAAGATGTTGATCTCTCTAAAGGGAGAGCAATTCCGTATCCAGAAAGAGCTACAGAAATGCAAAGCCAGGTGGAGAATCGTGTGATGAAAGTTCACAAGCAAGCACTTATCTTCCTGATCTACATAGAAGCCTGTTTTTTTCTCAACTGATTTACAAACAAATAAGAAAAGCACACCTCAAACAGGCTAAAGGACTGCAAGCAAAACACATGGGATGAAATTTAGAAATAACAACACACAGGATATTAGAAAGAGAGATCCTTTTTTCTTAGTTTGTTAGTTATTAAAAAGAGGATTATACTCTAAGCTACAAGTCAGTGCTGACTACTTTTAACTAGTAGAGTTTGTCATTGGAGCTAATGGCTTGGCTTGGGAGTGTTTCTGTGGCCTGTGGGCATTTTAATAGCAGGCCTGTGACGAGGACTTGCAGTGAGCACTAACAGGGATTTTGCAGCTTGATGGCTTTGTGTCATCTGGAATTTGTTCTTGATTACAGCTCGCATCACAAGCAGCACAGGTAATGAATGAGAAGATTCATTTTCCATCCGTATCCAAATCTTATTGCTTTTACAGCTTTTGGTCTCCACTAAACTTGGTACAGGGCTTGGGAAGGTATTTTCTGCTTATAAATCATCTACTGAGTTTTTCCTGAAGATCTTTCTCAGCCTTGTGCCATCTGTGTACATTGCAGCTCTTTTAGAGAAATCTTTACACCAAACTTCTGCTGTATCTGGACAAAGTTGTGCACAGCCACAAAGCAGAAATCTTGGTTTTTTTCTTTTGCTCAAGTTGTCAAAATGGACAGCTGGGGATGCCACAGAAAAAGGGATTTCTACTAGAAGTTTTGCAGCTATGAGAACTGGTGACATGCCCACAGCCACTGCAAGTGGAAATCGCCTGCTAGGCTGGCAGAAACCTCCTGGGCTCCTGGGATGAAGAACACAAACAGGATATCATGGTGGCTAAAAAAAGAGCTGCTGTTCCTCACGCTCATGTCTAGGATCTCTGCTTACATTGACCACAGTTCTCACACCTGTAAACACATACATCTTCCTGCTAAAATAAATTTAGGACTGTCTTGCCAAAAAGAGAGAAGATTAAAATCCTTGATGGCTTGAACTGGACCTTGCCACTGAAGTCAAGAGCTAGTTAACTTTATGTTTGCAAGGAATGCCATAAAATCAAAGAACAACTGTGTATGCTGCTCCCACCATACAGCTACTGAGAAATACTACTTGAATGAAGGAAGTGCAGAAGGCTACTTCATGCAGATGATTATATATACAAAATAGGCTGAAATGGTTTTCTTGTAGTACACACAGACAATAAAAGATCAACAAGCACAGCTCCACATTTTCCAGCTTTTGCTCATATTTGTGCCACTGTTCTCAGCAAGGTTCTTTTGCATCTGCATTAGCCGTAGTTCCCAGTTTCTCCCTTTCTAATAATCTAAGAGACAAGATGACAGAACAGATTAGAAAAACGCCTATAAATAATACCGTACATAAAGTGGCATTTACCCACTGAGTCTTAAATCTCTTTCCCTGATTTGGTTCTATTTTTAAAAACTTCATCTTACTTGACACTGACAATGATTCATATAAATATTAAGTATTCATTTTTAGTCCATTGCACATAAGTGAAGCTAAACTGTAATGTTCTTTGGAGTTTTACCCTGCAGGTCTTTCCTTAGGTCTGGGAAATGGGACAGGCAGATTCCTTTAGAGAATACTTTGCAATGTGGCTTTATGGCCATACATTAAATGGGGTAAACGTGGTGGTTTTAAAGTGTTCAACGATGTTCACATTTCAAAATCTTTTCTTCTTATTTTGTTTTTCTTCATCGGGGTATAAAAATAAGGTGTTACACTGAATTAAATCCTAAATCCAAACGCTGTGGATTAAAACATCATTTCTTATTTATTCCTCTTTTTGGTGCCGTGGTTACGTACAACAATTCTTACGATTGCATTTATTCTTTTGCTGTATCTTGTTTTAATTAAATCATTTTTAAAGATGTTTTATTGTGCCAATGTTTTGCTCTTTTGACTGCACAACAAAGCTACTGAAGCACCGATTTGTTTTTCCGATATTTGTCACTTTTGAATTCTATCCCAATTGTTTCTATTATAGCAGGAGAAGATTTGATGAAGTGTTGCAAAACTGAAGAACTGCCTCTGCTTCATGGGAGAACTTTCCAAGACTCCTATACAAGGTAAGTTACAGTAGGAAGAGACTTAACAATCTACCTTTCATAGTTTCCACTAAGATTTTGGACTGGTTTTGTGTGTATCTTGAAGGCAGTGAATGTAATAGCAGGAATGCTTATTGATCACTTATTTCTATGTTATTTGTTTATTCCAGAGCTAAGGTGTATGTGCTGTAAAAGGCACTAACCTTGCAAAGACTGGTTCCAGTGCTTTTCCAAGTTAAGCTTATCCTGGCAGTAGTTTAATTGAGATTGCTTTTCTTCAATGCACTTTGAAACATTCAAAAGTAATAAAATGCAAAAGATCAATATCAGTTTAAATGAAAAGAATGTTTATGTTAAAATATTGATGAAAACGCAGCCTTCAGAGATTTTGAGAATACTTGTATTTACATGGCATGACTATAAGGTGACTGATAGCCTTGGGAAATACAGGTCTGTTCAGAACAAATCATGCAATGTGTCCTTACGCTCACTTGGGAGCTCGCATTCCAGCGTGGCAGAACTGCCTTGGCTCTGGGATAACAAGAATCCTCTCTATGTCCATTGAGATGATACTTTTTTGTATATTTTGTACCTTCCTTCTCCATAGAGACTGTGCAGAGACCCCTAAAGCTCACTGTGGAGCCACCTGATGACATTTGGTCACTTCGTAACAGGAACTAACTCTGAACTAGTGAGAAATTGAACATAAAGAACTACAAAACTTAAGCTGAGCGGTCTCTAGCAACGTTACTACCTGTATCTATTATCTGCTAACTGTTAACCTTGCTGAAGTCAGCATAGAATTATCACATGAGACAGTTTCTTAGTTCCATCTTTCTGGGAAATGCTGCTCTGTCACGTACCCACCGTATTATTTTGTGAATTCCTCAAGCTGTACAAGCTACCAATTTCACTGTCTGGATGATGCAGTTTTCTAAGTCAGGAAGTCTCTTGAGCAGAGACAGATGAAAATACGAAACCCCGCAATTATAGAAATTTACTGAACTTCAAATTTCATATTCCAAGCAAAAAAAAAGAAATAAAAGACACCAAACCCTCCATAGCCTCTGGATTACTCTGTAAGGGAAACTTGCACACAGACTAGGATCCTAGTGTTTTCAGCACATTTCTGAAAGCAGCTTATATTCTGTCTGTAGTTGGTGTGCTCAAGTACATTTAAAGGACTGTGCCTGTTAGTGACAAAAAGTTGTCAGCATTAATGAGACTGGGATAAAAGGTAGCTATTAGCAGTACTAAGGTAATTTTGGGCACATGCAGAAGCAGTACTGTAGGCAACTGGTAAGTTTTAATGTGCATCTGAAAAAATTAAGTCTGCAGGGCTTGTGCTTGGAGAATTGTAAATTAGTACTCAGATGGCTACATCCTTTCACAAGTATGGCTTTGGAAGCAAGGATGCAGGAACTAAGTGCTAAGTCCCCATGATGCAGGAGGGATGAGGGTGCCACCCCCTGCTGTCCTTGCACTGGTTGGTACATCTCATATGCACATTGTACCCTGAGAAGGATCCTAGCTTTAGGTGTTCTCCCCCACTAGTCCAGGTTCGTTTGGGAAACTATCTAAGCATAGTACAAAATCCTTCCACATATGGTTATTGATGACTTGGTGTTTTTATGGCAATAGCATCTCGAGGTCTCAGTGGAAATTTGAAGCCTATTGTGCTAGTTACTGCAACGCATGCATTGTAAGGGGAAGCCAAAGAATGCAAGTAACCCAGGAAAAGTTCTCCTGTTTTAAAAATGACGTACTAAGACTCAATGTCTTGTGAAGTAAAGTTCATAGAAGGTGAGGTGGGCTGAGACATAACCAAATGATGTGGATTAATGAGCTAATACCAAGTGCTGTTTGTGTGTTTGTGCCTCACTGCAAATGTTCCTCCACTGAGCTACATGAGTGAGGCCTTCCCTCGTACAGCCGGTGTGCTGTAAATGCTAACCAAAACCCCAGAGTGGTTTCTTCAGAACTAACAGGCACAGTCATACAGGGCACATACATAATGACTTTAGTTAGAACTGCTAACAAATGCTCTCTTGATAATCTGCATTAATTCAATTGCTTGCAATCATCTCAATCATCTGTCCAAATCTCTGTTTTTGTTTTTTTTTTTTAATTTGCTTTATAATAAACTCACACCATGTAGCTCTGTGTATATTTCTGTTTAAATGAGATCTTGAAAGTGCAGTGTGTGGGCAGGTCTGCATGAGCACCAAAGATGCCCTATCAGAACAAAGGTTTACCCTGTTGTCCTATCCCAGATATCTTTTGAAGACAGTGTGCTGGTTAGGAGTTATGATAGCTGATGATTATATATGTGTGAAGGTAAATATGTGCTTTGGAGTTGAAGGCATCATAGAAATGCTCCCGAAATGCAAACATTTGCTTTCAGTCTGTGTCACACTGACACAAAGTAAAATGGGCTTTTCTTAGTGAAGCAGGTTCTCCAAAAGATTTTTTTTTTCTTCTTTGCAACAGCAAGTGCACTTTTGCAGTATTGATTTCCTGCTGCATAGACATAACTAACATTTCAGGAGATCTATACATGATTAAAATTTACCTTAGGTCTTTTAATAAAATCACTAGCACCTTTGGGACTCCTTGGCAGGATGAACACTGAACTCTTATCAGCTGAACGCATGATTTCAGCATTGCTTAAGCAACTTTTGAATAAAAGTTAGCTGCTACCTCCCTTTCCTCTCAGACAACAACAACAAAAACAAGAGCAATTGACTCAATCTGGTAATGGTTGAGTTGTAGTATAGTTAGGTTGTTAGGTTTGTCCTGACAAGTGCTCTACCGAAAGAACTTGAGTTAAAATAGTTCTGCAGTATGCAGGACACATTGCCAAGAAGTGCTAAGATGTATTGTCACTAGGTTTCTTGCAAAACTCCACACTACAAGCAACGGGGAGATCCGTGCTAAGAAAAGAAAGCGGAACAGCACAATGTGGCCGATATGTTGTTTTGTTTTTGGAGTAGAGATCAAAGCCTGCTGTGAGTCCTTTTGCCTTTAGTGTTGAGGCAATTTCACAACTGTCCTTGTCCTGAAAAGTTTCGGCAGAGACAAGGGTCTCTGGCTGGATCCCATTAACATCAGTGGTAGCTGTGTTCATGTCCCCACACATTGGGGTTGGATTTGGCTGAAGGTCTCTTAGCTCCTCATTTGTGTCCTTCTCTGCTGTAGACATGACCTCCAATCCACTGGAGGTTGTAGGTGCTCAGCATTTTTAGAGATTTCTCCTTATACATTTTCCTGAAGTCTGTTATAAATTCAGAACGTTCAGACTGAAGTTTTTCATTTAATTTGTGACCAGACAAATCACAACAGTGGCCTCCACCATTCATACCTGTCAATTGCTCTAGCATAATGAAGACAGTGCAAGAATCCAAGGTGAAAAACAGAATAGGGTTAATGGAATGAGTTTTTCAAAGTGAAATCTGCAGCTGAATTTCTGATGCATGTGAAATAATAAGCAACCTGATCTGACTAGATCTTTCTGTATTTAACTGGGGTAACAAAGGTAATGCTTCAGAGGGCAAAGATGGACAGGATTAGGGATTCTGCTGCAGTAGTACGAGCTGTTATTCTGTTGGTGTATTTCTGTGCACGTTTTGGTGTGTGCGTGCCTGTGTGTGTGAATGCTGAGTAGATGATACAGGAAACTGAGTAAAGAAGATGTATTCAGTTTGGTTGTGCAGACCAAAATGCCTTACGTAGCTCATATTTGTCTCTGGGAAATCCTAAAACTCAGCAGGACTAGGCTTTGCCTTTTGTTATTTAAAAGCAAGCAATCCATCTCCCTTCTTTTTAAAAGGGGCATTCTTTCCCAGGTTTTCAAATAAGAATGCAGTTGGATATTTTAAACTGTTTCGCATTGTCAAGACACCACGATGGTCTCGACTGAGCATTTCCTCAATGTAAATCTAGCAGTGCTGAGGTTTGCAGCTGCTTCTGAAGTATCAACATAATTACATAAGTGCATGCCAGCAGCCGGTGCCTGTGCTGGTGGATCATGTGCAGCACACACATTGCTGGCTGTCCGCAGCGCACTGAAAGCAGAGATTTATTGCATTTACAAAGAGCCATTACAGTGCAATTTTAACTTACTGTCATTAAAGGGTCTTACATCATAAGCAATCGCTGTAAAAAGCCTCGGACTGAGATTTATTCTTCATTTTTATAGCATGATTTATTAGAGCCCCCATTATATCTTATAATTCATATCTGAAGGAAATAAAAATCAATTAGGACCTGGCCCTTTCACCTTTACCCGTGCTGGGTAGTGCCTTGTGCTCAGCCTGAAGGAAACGGGGACATTCCTGGAGTAAGGGATTGCTATGAGACGAAGACTACAGACAGCCAAATCTGGGTCCTTACTGAGCACAGGAGAGAAATGCACAAATTATCTGAGAAATGACAGCGCTTTGTTGATCTTCTGGGGAGAGGGGGTGGTTCTCCATAGCTTGAGAGATATTGCTGATTTCATGCGATCCTAGCACTGTACCTCCTGGGTACCATTTGGAGTGAATCACATATTTATATAACGCAGCATTCGGCAGAGAAAACCCAGTCAGCCTTCTAATACTGTTCTTTCCTCAGATCAAATTCAGCATATAGCATCTAAGCTAATTGCAATACAGTTGCAAAGATCTCAAAATGGCTGTTCTGTTAGTGTGATTCCACAAGAATGCACTGAAATTTCTTTAAATCAAGCCTATACAAAATGGAAACTCAGCTTTGCCATCTGTATTTGCATGAGAAAGGATTACTTACTTGATTATCAATTAGGGCTCAATTTTTCAATCTGAATACCCCTCTTGCCCTTCTTATTATGAAATACAGCACTTGGATATGATTTGATTGAGTATTAATTGAAGTCATGTGGCTTGAATGGGGATGTATTCTATAGCCCTTTGCAGTGAAAAATGCCATTAAGATTATGAAGAGCTCTGTCGATATCAGAGCTCAGTGTTTAGATGCAATGTGCTAAAGATTCTGAGGACTTTAAATGATTATGAAAATACATATTTAAATACGTACATTCCTAATAAATTGCTAACATCTATCACACCTCAGTGCTCTGGAATGGAAATACGCAATCCATTTATTAAAAAGGCAGTACGCTGCAATTAATCTGTTATCTTGAACCACACTGCAGGAAGATGCAGTTCTATCCTTGAAGCTGCTGGAAATGCTGGCACTGAATTTCAGCAACAGTAAGGCTGCTCCCTCTCTGCTGATTTGCTACCATCTCTCCTTATGTTAAAAGAAAGGCAGTATGTATAGGCTGTACTGAAGTAGTACCATAAATATACACAGATCAGAAACGTATTTTAAAAAAGCTAAAAAGATGAGTATCACTCACTGCTAGACCATACAAAATAAGGAAAAACAAATTAGGAAAATAATTTTCCTAGGCATAGTCTAATGCATCACATTTTTGTGAGCTGTTCTAAAATAGAAATATTATAAATGATCCGGAGATCTTTTTATCCTTTGACTCGTGATGCACCAACACAGAATACAGCATTTTGTTGCCTTTCATTCCTAACCAAAACCAAAACAGCAAATGTCAGGAGAAGGGCAAGGAAAGTAACTGAAGACACGTAGGGATGGATTAAAGACGGAAGAGCCCAAATACCATCCTGAAACCGGTCGCTGAATTCGCATCGATTTCAGTGGCACCGAGGTTACATTTCTAGAAGTATTTTGGGATTGTTTAGTTCTGAAGTCCTTCCTCATATGGAAGTCCCACTCAGCACTGTGGGAGGTGGTGGTGATAGGAAGGCATATATATGTGTATGCATATGATTGTATGATCCATGCAATCTTAGCCTTGGCTAAATCGAGTAAATTTTGTAACCTAGAAACATTATAATTAAGTAAGATTTAAAAAAATATTATGAAAATGGCAACAGATGCCGTTCTTTTTTAAGGTTTCAAAATAATAGAAATAAAATTGGAAATGGGCAAATGGATTAGAAAACAACCCTTCCATGAATTAGAAGTGCTAAGCATGCATTACGCAGCCAGAAATTTGTCAGGTGGATAACATCATCCCTCTTATCTCCCTGTGAGGTTGTGACTTCAAAGACTGTCAGACTTTGCGGGCAGACATCACATCTTCCTGTGTGTTTTTGAACAACTTGAACCAATGAAGTCATGATTCTGCACAGCTGCCACAATCAGTTTTTTTCTTCTTGGCGGTGGCTTTACAATTTATTACTTCTGAAGCCAGAGGAACAATTCACAGGAGTTATTTGTGAGTGTGCTTGTTCCCACCTTGGCTAACTCAGCAGGGACAGAGCCTGGGAGGTGGCCAATGCTTTCCAGCTGGGATGGCAGAGGCTGCTTTGGACAGCATGCAGAGGAGCCAATACCCGGCTTCCTCATGGGTTATGTAAGGATTTGTAGTAGCTTTCCGCTCGATGGGAGAAAATAGGAACAAGATGGGATTTTAGGAGCTGTGTTAATAATGAATGACAGAATGGTGGTTAATAGATGTCTATCTGTAATTCCATTATACTACAAGCGCAGGGGAAACTTCATTTTATGCAGGATTCTCATTTTTGCAGAGCTGTAATGCAGCGTGCAGTTAAAATTAGGCTGTCTGGTTAATTGTCAGTGTGCAGTGAGAATCGCTTCAGTGCAGGATTAGACATGCCTCTGCAGGGAAGCTTTGCAGAAGGGCCCAGGGAGGGACAGCAGCTCCACCGGGGCCCCTTGGAAGAACCCCCCCAGGAGAGGGGTGCCTGTGGGGAGGGGAGGTGGGGAGAGGATCTCCTCTTCCTCCCTATCTGCTCACATGTAGTGGGACCACCTGAGGCACCTGTTCCTGGAATATCCCTAGGCTGTCCTGTGGGACAGCAGCAGCAGAAGCTCTCCTTGTGCACTGATGCTCTCTTGCGCTTGGCCAGGTTAAGGGATGAGCAGGAATATCCCCATAGCCTCTCAGCACCAAGACAGTACAGTTGTCAGGAGCCGGGACCCGTAAGCCTTTCTCATACCTACAGGATGTATTCGGTACAGAGAAATGATCACAACAAGGTGGAAGCACTCTAGAATATTCAAAAGAAAGCTGGAAGAAGTCCCTGGGACCACCCTTTTCTCATCTCTTCCCTGCTATCCTTTTACTACCTCCTTCCTTGTGTCAGAAATTTATCTTTCAGAAATCGCCTGCTGAGGAAAGCAGGTTTGCAAAGGGAGAGAGGAGGGAAGAGTGAGTGATGTTTGCCATAAGCCTCTCTTCCTCCAGATCAGAGCCATATAGCGTATGCCAGAATGGCAAGTCAAGCTGTTGAGGACTTTCCATGGGACCCCAACCAGCTTTTGTTTAAGAACAGTTCAAGTGTTTATTTGGAAGGACTGCAAAGCTTTCCTTAGGATCCATTAATGAAGCTTAACTCTCCAATCTGAACGTGAGCACTGACATGGAATCTCAGCTGAGAGCTCCAAATTCCCAACCACTGACTAACCTAGCAGCTGTGCTTGAACACCAGCACCATCTTATCCTGCTGGGAAGGAGGAGGAAGGGGGCAGAGATGTTAGATACATGCTGGCCAGATTCCCTCTGAAGTCAGTGGGAGCTTTGCTTGTGTACAAACAGCGTGCCCAGATGTAAAAATGAAGGAGACAGGGTGCTAGGAAAATATTTTCCATGCACTGTGTGTGTGCAGAGCAGCCTGCGACATCTAATGAGTGCAGAAGGCAGGAACTATTACAACATAACTCTCAGATACTCTGCTCCAGAGTCTGTGCAGCTTTCTGTGCAGCTCTGAGCAGGGTTTTCCCTTTGCATCTACTTGCAGAAAATAAATTCTCAAAGTTGCCTGAAGATGTGAAAAGATTTCTATTAAGCTTTGAAGAAATGGCTCTCCAGTTCGGGTGCCTGGAATGTGAGGCAGCACTCAGCTGCCTGAGGAGATGCTTTGGAAAATCTACCTGGAAGCTCACCTGTCTGCATGCATACCTGGTATCTTTGTAAAGATGATCTTTTCCACCACCTTATCTGCTGTTCTGTTCTGACCTCCGGGTACCTGCCTTGGCCTCTGTTACCTAAAACATGGAGCCTTTCTGTTATGGAGAAGTGCATTATGCTTTACTTTACTAAGATGGGCGTCTGAGGCAAGGTGTGATGTGAAACAAGCCACCTTCTCATAAGATTTGGAAGCCCATGCAGCAGTTTTATTACGTTTGATCTTTTTAGAAAGCACTATATTAAGAAATTAGTATTTAGAAAACATGAATGTAATTAAACCCAGCCAGTACAAACTGCTAGTAACTGGGATCTCATGCTTTGCTGAAGTTTGTGAACAGACAAAATGTGCAGTTAGCTGATTTTGCCTGCAACACAGAAGTGCTCTTCCCTTCTCCCCTGGCCACCTACGTCAAGATCTACAATGAGATCAGATATTTAGTATGAGATGGATGCTGGTGAGGCAAGGTAGTTGTAGGTTCTTGTGTTTGTAAACAGTGTTCATCACAGGCCTCCAGGAATGGCTAGGTTTGAGTAAATGCTGAGCCTTCCACAGACAGTTCCTGAATGTTCATTGCATTCATGTGCCCCATATAGTCCAGAGAAATCTTGTTTTCTGCAGGGTTTCACTTAACATTCATGTATCACGTTCCTAGTACTAGTACTTGCCCAAGTGTAATACAGTATAAGGATTATGTAAATCAGTGCTTATATTAAGATGTTACTCAGACGTACCGTTTGGTGTCCAATATATATGTTTACAGTAATCATCACTATTACAGGTCTAAGATGTATTAGGATGACAAATTTTGTGATGTAAACTTTTGACAAAATGGCAGTGTGAATCTAAATCTTTGCAAAGCTAGGATACAGTTAGCAAATGAAAGCAGCGTACACAATTGTAAGGGAGGCAGCATCATTTGTTGCCTGGCTATACTAAGGATTGCTTTAATATACCATTCACTTGTTAATGATGCTATCAATTATTTTACTGTAAATTAGCTATTGTGAGCTTGAGATCTTTTTGCAGTGTGTGTCATTAGGTTACAGGAGCATAAATCAGACTCCCATCTCTTTTTACATCCATAACCATAACGTATGGCTTTTATTAGAAAATGTTAAGTGTCTTTTAATGTCTTCTTAATGGACAGTGTGTGCATGTGTTGATGATGAAAGCCATCTTCCTTCATACAAAATATTAATGCATAGAGCCTGTGTCTCCATAGATACAAGGTAAGGAATGGTATTTAACCTATGAAATATTCAGTATATACATTAAGTTCAGAATTTGTGTTTTCTATAGTTAACAATCCTTTAGGGAAGGAAGGAGTTAAAGGGAAATCAGGGCTTGAATTCTACCGCGTATGCATATGTAACTGTGAATAAATGATATGGCAACCACTGGAAAAAAAAATCTGTCTATAAAATGCCTGTTTCTAAATGGAAATACCCCATCCCCATAGAGAATTAGGAAATGGGATTTATATCCTCCTAGGATTCCAGCCTGCAGATCACAAAGAAAGACTCATTATCAGTCATATATTCTGCCCTCTAAACTAAAATACTGGAATGCTTCCAAGAAAAACGGTGTTTTAGTCTCTGTAGCCTTTTCATTGGAGCAGCTTTATCCATTTAGCCTTTGGACCATTCCACAACATCTTGGACAAGAACACTGCTTTGACCTGAGATCTATTTACCGACAGATTCCTGGCCACTAGAGATCTGCTCTTCAAATTAACGCCTGCTAATGTTGGGCTTGATTAAAGGAAGCTAATGAAGCCATTTGAAGGATGCCCTCCAGCCTTCCCTCTCTGTGTCCATGTTCCCTTGGCAGAAATCGGGGATTTGAAAGCTGCAATTCAACAGCATCATCCTTTCATGTTGTGGTAAATATTTTATTATTCCTTTACCCTCCATGCTGTTTAAAAGAATTCATTTAAAATATTCACTTCTTTGTTCAAGGAGGAAACCTCCAAAGGGTATGCAAACAAGAACGTTTAGAAATGCACCAAGATGTAAGTGCAGGCTCTGCTCCAGCTTTTCCCATTCATTCAGCCTGCAGACCTGGCGGCTCCCTGACGGAGATCTCTGCTCAGCTCAGCAGCCTTCAGCAGCTGCGGTGCCCCCCCATTCATGTCCAGGCAGCTTCCCTATCTCTGTGCCCTGTGTTTCCACTTCCCTCCACCCATCCTGTTTGCTCCTTAATCTGCTGACTCCTTTGATCCTCCTCAGGAACAATGTTTATCCTCCCACACTGAAGCACCAACCGTCACCATGGAGGGCCAGCAGCAATTTTATACCTCCATAAAGGTACGTTTAGGAGAGAAGTGACACCTGTCCAAGCTGATGACTTTCTGAAGGCACTGTCCTCCACCTATCCCTCCTGCTTACCAAGACAGATGCCTTAGGGGTTAATCCTGCTCTCTTTCTCTGAACTTGATCTTTTCTTTACATTTGACTGCACATGCAGAATCAGGCCCTAATCAGTGTCACCATTCCCATATGTAAAAGCACCAAGGCACTCCTTAGAGGAGTTGGGTGCCTATTTAGGGCCATCTTTATTGCCATCTATGTGGTGAACCAATGTGTGCATTCCCTTTCCAAAACTGCCGGCACCGGGAGGGAGAGGTTGGCCTTTGGTAGCCAGGTGAGAAGCCTCCCAGACAGTGTCCTTTCACCATGAATGAACCCTCTCCTCTGATTAATACTTTGCATTTCCCTCAAGGGAAAAGACAGAGTGGGGAGGTAAGTGAGCAACTGAATTATCCATTCTCGGAGAAGCAGGATCATAAATATTTAACATGATATGTATGAGAAAAGAGAAGGGAACAGACAGCCTCTCCAGTCCAAGCTAAGCAGCTCTCCAAGCTCCCTGTTTCCATGATCCCTTTTCCATCTCATACAGGAAGAGGGCTGGAGTAGATGCCTCTCTGCTGGGGCATAGCTGACTGTGGAAGCCTGTGTATGGAGGGAAATACCTGGTGTAACAGAGATCTCCGTCCTCCCACAGGACTGCCTGGCCTATGAATGGGACCTGCCCCATGCTGTGTATTACTAGGAGCCCGCTGGAGAACAAGGGTCTCAGAAGCTCACGTAAGTACATGAGCTCATGCCACGGCATCCAGTTGGGCCCCACACATGGGACTTTCTTGAGAGTGTGGCCTGCATCCCCAGGCCCTGTATACAGTTGTTGGGATGCCTGCTCTACTCTGCCTGTGGCACTAAGCCTGGTGCCACCGGGCGGAGGTGGGACCGAGGGGAGAAGCGTTTTGTGAGGGTGCTGGTTGCGTAGCTTACCCTTGCATATCTGGAGGAGTAGGGATCCTCAAAGAGCGCCCAGATGCGAGGCTGCCACCGTCTCCAGAAGCCTCCAGACCTGCCATCCGGGGAGTCACTGAGCGCGAGGCGTTTTGTCATCTCCAGCTCCTCTTCGCCATCACCAGAGTCTCCGGTGCCATCTATGTCTCCGTCCTCGGCGCTGCTATCCAGGGGCGCCCCACCAAAGCTGTCCAGAGCCTCTTCGGCGTCGCGGTGCTGCCGGTAGGTCATCCAGCAGCAGGGCTCCACGTCGGTCTCATCGATGCCCCAGAAGGCCAGCTCCTCCTCGTACAGGGGCCCGCACACGTCAGCAGGGCAGTGCAGCTTGCCGGTTCGGTAGTAATTCAGGATGTGGGCGAAGACGCCCGGGTGCCGGTCGAAGAAAAACTCATCCGTGCGGGGGTCATAGTCGAAGTGGCTGTGGGCATCGGGCTCGGCGATCCAGGCCAGCCGCGTGCCGGGCAGGGTGCGCAGGGTGCTGCGGTAAGTCTGGTGCCTAGTCCCTCCCACGTTGATCACGATGCGGTCGCTCTCGTCGCCCTGGCCCATCTCGTCTCTTATCAGGCATGTCGCAGCCTCATCCAAGCGAGCACGGAGGGCGGCGAGCCCGCGAGGGGACGGCTGCTCGGCGGCAGGCGCTGCGATGCCGAGCCCCGCTCCGGGTCAGGGCCCCGCGCCCGCTCGGCGCCCGCGGCCGGGGACTGCCGGGGCCGCGCCGCCGTCGGCTCAGTCAGGGGCGCGGGGGCCGCGGAGGCTGCGGCCGCGGCGGTGGGGCGGGAAGGGGCGGCGGGGACATGCTCCGGGAGCTGCGGAGGCTGGGGAGCGGGGACGGGGCGGAGGGGGAGGTCCCTGCCGGTTGGATGTGGCCAAGACACCCAGGAGGGAGGGAGGGGAAAAAAAGAAATACTAAGGAAAAAAGAAAAATCGCGGCAGCGGCGGTGCCCTCCGGCGCGCGGCAGTGGGGCTGCGGGGTCGGAGCCGGCGGCAGTCGGGGGCGGCGGGGCTGCGCCCGCCCCGCCTGGCGGGGGCGGAGGGGCCCCGCTGGTGCTGAACGGACAGCGCCGCGCCGCCGCTTCCTCCTCCTGCGCTCCTCGCTGTGCCGAGCGCGCTGCCTGGCCGGGGTCGGGGCCGGTGCGGGCGGCGGGGACCCGCGACGCCGCCGCCGCTCCTCCCGCTGCCGCCGCCGCTCTCCGGCGGCTCGGTGCAGCCCGCCCGCTCGCTCGCGCAGGCGCGCCGCTCCCTCCCGCCGCCGCGCGCCGGGTCCTAATGCCGGCCGCGCCCCGAGGGCGCCGCGCCCGCTCACCCCCCCCCCCCCTCACGGCGAGAGTCCGGAGCTGCCCGCCAGCGGGAGCGGTGCCCCGTGCCCCCGTCTCAGAGCCCGCCCGAGTGGCGTCTCCGGGACGACTTCGGCGGCGCTGGGGTGAATCCCCGCCGCTCACCTTCGTGCAAAGCGGCAAAACCCCTCGTCTGCCCTGGTACGTGTCCCGTGCGGTGTGCAGGGGAAGGAGACGGGCGTGGCAGCAGCTTGGGTGCTGAGGGAAGCGTTGCAGGAGCTGTGGCAGGATACACCGGAGAGGCCTGAATGCCTGCTTCCCCTGCGTGAATAGCAACAGGTTGGTTACGATGCTGGCAGGACAGAAGGAAGGCCAGAGGAGCTGGATGTTTGTCTGCCTGAACTGTGGGAAAAAGAGCACGGAAATCCGAAGCACGGTGAAGTTAAGGAACATGAGGCTGAACCAACGCAATGCTGCACTGCAGCCACCCTCAGCTGCTGACAGAGCCTCCAGGAAGAGCGGCCAGGCAGCAGCTGAGTGCTGGGGTTGAACATGAAAGACTGAGGTACAGGGAGGGGTCTGAGAAGCCCCAGCACAGAAAGGCCATCCAAAGTCCTTGAGAGTTGGCAGCAGGAAAGCATAGAATGAGAGGAGAGTGGTGAGCTCGAACCTGAAATTTGGAAAGAGAAAGGAAATGAAGATTGTAGTTTGTTGATAAAATGATGGTAATTGTCTTATAGTCCCACTCACCTATCGTTTCTTATGGTGATGGATCCAGGGGCCAAGGGGAAGCAGAGCAGGGCAGGTTCTGAGGGCCATGGGGGTTAATCCAGAAGAAATTTGAGGTCCTCTCGCAGCCCTTTAGTCTTGCCTTCCATTACCCATATCAGCATTTCCTCTGTAGGAACATCAGTGTTGAGCTCTCAGGCGGCGGTGAGGATGAAAGGAGCCCCTTGCAGCTTCTGGCACTCCATCTTCCTCTCTGCCTGTCCATGCGTGCTGCAGGACCTCAGAAGAACCTGAAAGCGTGCGTTAAGAAATTGGAAGTTTGCTCAAAGGCGTTTTTCATGGGCTCAGGTGGGGAGGCCATGCTTAAGTGACCTGCAAGGTTTCTTTGAAGATACAAAGGCTGCAGTTGATAAAGGAGAGTTGGCAGTCGCAGATGAGCAGAGTATTTCAAAAAGAGAGTGAGAAGGCTCCAAATCATAGGTCTGTGGGTGAGGGGAAGCAGAGGATTGGAGCAAGACAGCTGCAAAAACAGGAAACTGTCTTAAAAGCATACAGTGGAAACATAAGTTTGTGTTTATACATTATTTTCATGGGGAAAATGAAAGATAGCATCATTTCCAAAGCTTATATTGCAGTTTGGGAGGTGAAGTATCAGAAAATAAGATCTTTATTAAACAAGGAACGTAGACTGTAACATCATATTGACAAAAAAAAAACAACAACTTTGCTGCCAGGAGCCTGCCTGGTAGCAATATAAAATTCTGGTTTTGTTTAACAAAATATTTTTCCATGGATATAAAGGTTTGGACTACAACAGATAAAAGAAACCAAATCATTTTCAAAGATTGTCAAATTTAGGGATAAAATGTTTTCCACAGAGGCTTGTTCAATACCAAACTGCATCGTGGCACTCCTGGCTCCTCTCACCCCACTGAACCATAATGGTGCTGCAACCATTCCTCTGCTCTGTCTCACCAGCCTCCACCTGCTGGGATGCTGAAGGATCTCCCCTAACTCTGCAGTGTTTTCCAGGGCTGTAATGAGGTTCTGTAATCCAGTGTGCACACGAGATGAACATATGTATATATTTATCACAGTCAGGCATTCAGCCTTTTCAGTTTCAGTAGCAGTGGCTCCTCTTCTCTGCTTTCAGACTTGTGTTACAGACGATGCACTCGCTTGTGGAAGCAGCATCACCCATATAGCTCCACTGACTTCAATTAAAGAATGAATGAAAGAGTAAAAGTTTGGGTTTCATGTCAACCACCTGAAAAAAGTCCTCTGTGTATCCCTGTTGGGTGTTTTCTCTACCCAGGAAAAAGAAGTTGTGCAGGGAGGACTTTATAGGAAGGTAGATACGCATGTCCAGGAATCACCTTATTTTTCTCTGCTAGTTCTTGTCAGATTTAAGTTAAATTAGCAGTTAAGCTTACTAAGATTTACGTGCTAAAAAGGAATGAAAACAGTTTTAAGAGCTCTGGGAGACCTGTGTGGGAGGCACGGATTTGGTAGATTGAGCAAGGAGATCACAGTCTGGAAAAGGATTCTGGTAAAACAGCAGCAGGAGGAGGTAATGTTATCATAAATTCCCAAATGATGTTGGCCTCAGAATTGTGTTTTATTTCCCTAGCTGATACTGGTGACAGATTTTGATGGTCATCTGCCTCGAGCTGTGGCTAACCAAAGCCTGGTGTGAGTAGGAGAAAAACAGCTGTAGAGTTCAGAAAGACTTTTCAATGTGAGAGGCTGGAGCTGCACAGCTGCTGTTCAGGAGAGAATAGATGTGCTTTGAGCAGCCCTATTAAAGTCACTGGGAGTGCTTACAACCTTAGCTGTTCATCTGAATCAACGCTTTCAGTGGTGACAGTGGAAATACAGCTTTGAGCCATAGATCTGTTTTATTTTTCAAACTCCTATGCAAAAGATCATCTGTCCCCTTACTAATTTTATCCTTTGTGTTAGGTCACCCTACTGCCTCCTGTGTTGTGATGATACAGGCAGAGGAAGTCTTTCTTTCGCCTCTGTCTCTGGAGTCCTGGCATCACCTTTGCTGACCTATGCTTCAGCATCCCCAGGGTAACAGGATACAATGAAAGGTAGGTTGTCTTCCAGAAAGAAGTCTCTACCTAATAATACAGTTGAGAATTGCAGTGATTTCTAATCATATCTCCAAAAGGGTTTAAAAGGAGTTTTCTTTTCAGTGGATGGGGGGGGATGACTGAGCATTTATTTCCTAATATTTCTGTATTTAGTAAGTATTCACCTTTGAGCAAAATTATAGCTTTGTTTTCTTTGATAGATCAAAATTTTAGAATGCTGTGTAGGCACGAGAAACACACAGGGAAGCTTTGCTTTATGCTTTGGTACTTTCCTAGTATAACAGTGTCTCATTTTGCATACCTGAGAGTACCTGAGGTACTTAACAAGGACATACCAACTGTAGTGATAAGTAATGAAACACTCACTCCTTAAATTTAAGCCTGCCATTCAGAGTTCATCAACCAGTTTGTACTCAAAGACACAGCTTCTTATAAAAACTTATTGACCAATTCTAAGAAAAGTGACAATATAAAGAAGGAAAAGAGACATTTATAAAACCTATGACTTTATGTACAACTATGAATACATCTGAGAGCACATTTAAAATGTTTTAAAGCTGGGGGAAGCTGAGAGGGAGAGATTTATTTCTGAGAGTTATAATCTCAAAACAAAAAGCAGCCAGGGTTGGAGCACCGATTTTGCAATGGTCGAATGCTATAACTCAGTCTGTGCTGTCTTGTATTAAATTCATGACAATTCAACAGTATTGCAATGCAGTTCTTTATCAGTTCTAGATTACATCATGCTGTGAATTGCTGTCTGTTAATATTGATCTTTGTAAATCATTTGGAATCAAATGGAAAGCTGTGATGCACTTCAACATGCAATGTACTCACTCTGTCCTTGAAACTGATTTAAAAACAAACAAAGCTGCACTTGCAAAGATGATATTACTTTTCTGCAAGGTGAGATTTACCCTTTTGGACTATCAATAGTTGGATGAAAGCCTTCCATGGAAAAAAATGAGAACGAGGGAGAAAATAATTTGTTGTTGCTTGATGTTGACTGAGGGAGACACAGAGGTGCCGCATGCCTGAAGGGCTCACATCACAGTCACAAAGCCTGATTCAAAAGAAGTCATCCTGCTTTTAGTCACAGAAATAGAAGCTAGACAGATTGCACTGCAACCCCTGCACACTTACCTGGCTAGGTTTGGGCATTTTTTTTTCCCTTTCTTCACAGAAGCACAGAATTATAGAGGTTGGAAGGAACCTCGGGAGATCATTTAGTCCAAACCCCTCTGCTAATGGTTCCCTACAGTAGGTTGCATAGGGAAGAATCCAGAGGAATTTTAAGTATCTCCAGAGATGGAATCTCCACAACAACCTCTCTTGGCAGCTTGTTCCAGTGCTTTGGTGGTTATTTTCATATGGTTACTTAAATTTTGCTTAAATATGTACTTCGTTTTTATCTGTGTTCTTCAAATATCGCTTGGCTTTGCTGTGAGCTGAGAACTATTTGCTGTGCTGCACCTGCTGACTGCGTTTTGTTCTCCATCCGTTTGTACTGGGCTGCATTCGATTGTGAGTGAAGGTTGTTTTAAGAATCCCTTTAGGATCCTTAACAAAGAGTTCCAGTGTAGAAATATCGGTATTGAACCGATGCATATCAAACTGTGAGACAAATGAAAATTGTCCTGGGGAAAAAAAAAAAAAAAGAAGAAAGTGATATCATGTTATGTTAGAGATCATCACAGGTCTTTACTCGTTCCGTTAAGTTAGTGGAATTCCCACCTGCAATGATCTGATTTCACTGAAAGTTCCTGGGAGGTGCAACTGAGTAAATTGGTGTGAGATTGCACATGCACACAAGGCAAGGTGGCAGGAATGTTCTGCTTTCTGAAGGCCTGGGATGCTGTCCAGACCCTATTTCTCATAGGGAGAGAGAGCAGCAGTGAACACTAAAAATGGCTATAATCTGCCTGAGAGCCAGCACCTGCCTGAAAGCAGCACATAAGTGGGCTGGGCCAGGCACTGTGCTGTTCTTGGAGCATGTATTAACCTCAAATGATTTTCATGATATACTTTACTCAAGACCATAGTAAAAGTGTCAGGATTTATCTTATATGAACATTCCCTAACATAGAAATCATCCTCAAGAAATCATGGAGCAAAATCACAGCAAAAATCTGCTTTCAGTAACTGAAATAAGGCATGCAGCTTTGCTAATGTGATGCTTTGTTCTATGAAGGGTATAGATTAGTCTCTGTCTTCCTGATGCTGATCTAAGAGAGATCCAACAAAACAAGCAGCTGGTGATGAGGAAAAGTCAACTTACAATATTGGAAGATTCGTGTCAGCGAAAACATGCTTATAGAAGCTGCTAAATGTGTGTTACTAGGAGCTGAGTGCAGGAATCCTGAAGGCTCTAAATCTGCATGTTCAAAAGAGTAAATGCATGCACGTAGAGCTGAACTGTGTAGCTCCTACCACGTGCTACCACTGCAGTTCCAAAAGTGGCTAGTGATTTGGCTTTGCTTTATTTGTAGTTGATCTGTTCTGGGGAGTGCTATGAGATCCTTGACTTTCTGAGATTGACCTAATGAACTTTTTTTTTTCCTTCTGAAAATGAAAGTCTGCTGATGGGGTGGGTGGCGTTTTTAAAATCTTAGCCAACTTGCAGGTGCATGAACATAGCAATAGGCACAAACCCATCACACAGACTATTTACAGAATACAGAACAGGAGGCACTGGTCTTTTCTTGAGCAAAGTGTGCCGTTCTCAGTGCCTCAAGTACATCCTTTTCATTTGACCACATGCATGCAAAAATGAGGGTCTCTTTCTAATGGAAGAGGACAGAACATGTTGCATTATGCACAAAACACATGCTTGCCTAACAGCTGACTATTTCTCTAATACATCCAAATAATTAGAACATTTCTTTCTCTGTTTTTAAATTGAAACGGGAGGTTTACTTTTGTTGAATGATTCACTTTTCACAACTGTTATTATTTCTCAAGCTTACACTGAGTCTGCAGCAGCAACTGAAATGTTCTCAGACAAACAAGAAGGAAAATAGCCTGTAAATCTTTATTGGTATAAATGGTTCATAAAGCTGGGTGTTGAAAGGTAAGCGTAGTTGAAATAAATCTGAGCAGTGCTGACTCCAACGTTTAAAGCATTGGTTAAATCTCTTGATTAACCCAGCTCCTCACTTTTTGACATGGATCAATAATTTTGAGATGTCTCTGCTTTTCTCTGGCTTAGTGATTATTTATGTGGGCTGTGCCATGAAATATGACGTTTAATCCTGTTGAAGTAATTCTTACATGCTGCATATGGTTGTAGTTCAATTGGCACTAAGGCTAAAATGGACTGTGTTTCTTTTGTAAGTAAACAGGATTTATACAATACAAGTGCGAGTAAATGGAAAGCAAAATCCACATTCTAACACAAATCTTCAGCCAGCTGTTGGGCATGTAGATTTCCTGATTTTTGTTTGTTTTTGAACCTGTGGCTCAGCACTACCAGCAGTCTATTGTTCCAATGAGAGCTCGATCAGAGCTAATAGTGCCAGGATGTATTGTAGCTTTGTGCTCCAGGGAACAGGAAGATGCTCCACCCATAGGTTCCTGGCTGTGGGAAAAAGCCTTCTCTAGGAATCGCAGTGCAGAAGGGCTGTACTGGCCCAGCAGATAGTGGCTGATGTTCCTGCTAGCACACAAGATTTTCAGCAGGTCTGTATTTAAATGGTTGGCTTACTAAGCACAGTGCTATGCTTGTTCCTAAGACACGGCTTGTTTAGTCATTGTTTACTCATGGAATGATTCATGGGTGGGTTCTGCCAGGCTTTGCAGATGTACTCCCCGCCTGTAGGTATCCTTGAAGTAAAGGGTTAGGGAATAACAGGGAAGCAAAGAAATATCATGGTGGCACAAGGTGCTCAGAGTTGGCCAACAAGAATTCAGAAGTGTGTCCTCCTAATTTAGGCTCTGTTCTCATGGAAAGCTGGGCCTTTCTGTGCTTTTAGGATGGATGCCTGTTCTGCAACAGAGCCTGCAGGAGCATACTTACTGGCTTTCCTATGAAGGGATGAGAGAAAAGGGGTACCCAGTTTGCAAATCCATAAGGGCCAGTCTTCTGTGAAATTTTCCAGCCTGTAATTAAAAACAAAACATATTTCTACAGGTTATTTTAAAGTTGTTCTCCAGCTTACAGACATCCAGCCTATTTAAAACATAGAGAAAAATATTGCTTCCTAAAATTAATGTCAAAGTGTTTCAGCCTTTTATTTGGTTTATTATGTTAATCCCTTAAGATCCCTTCAGCAGATTAAGAGATCTCATGCAGAAGTACTCAGTGGTGCTGTGCTTCTGTAGCTCAGTTTGACTATCGCATAAAGCAAGCAGAGAAATACATCCTGAAAGGAACAGTGCATCCTAGAAAAGATGGTGTGGGAATTCAATGAAATTACTGTCCATTCTCCTGAGTGTATGTTTATACAGTTGTTAGCAGGTGTATTTGTCCGTATGTACAAAAATGTGTATAATACTCACTGGGACAAAACCTGGATGAGTCTCTTTTTCAGCTTCATTTCCACATTATGTTACATCTCTTATCCTACTGATTATTTCCCCCCCATCCTCACTAAGTCTGAGTAAGAACTGCAGAACGTGTCTAATTTTTTAGAGGTATTTTGAAGTAGTTTGAAAGAAAAAATGTTTAGACATAAAGGCTTTCATTTTTTGTCACACACAGCAAAAGTCCAAGAGGTTTGAAGAGCATTTAATCCAGTTGGAAATCAGGCTGGGGATGGTATATCAAATATGAATTAAAACTTTCAGTGTTGAAAACATAAAGCTAACGACCTTGGCTTAAAAAAAAAAGAAAAAAAAAAAAAAGTACAGTCTTTTAATTCACTCCAGCCAATGAACAGTCCATAGACAGCAAGTTAACAAGCAATAAGTAGTGATAGGAAAACTTAACAGATGAATCCTATGTAGCTAGACATCTGCTCAGCCAACAAAGATTTCCAAAAGATCAGCTGCATGTCTGGAAACGTAACCACTGGTGTCTAAAATAGAAGATAGGGAAGCAGAAGTTGTTTTTTTGGTGGGTTTGTTTGTTGGTTGTTTTTTGTTGTTTTTTTTTTTTTTTTTCCCATATTATATGCTGTACCAGAAGAAAAAAGAAAGGAGGCAAAATCCAACCAACCAACAGACGAACACACAAACACACCAGAGCCCCATGTAATGGTGGTGGTCAAGAATTGCTTGAAAGGCATATGCCTTAAGTCACAACAAAGCAAAGATATGTCAAAGTTATTTTGCTTTAGCTACAAAACATATATGCAGGAATACTACATACCTGGGAGGCATGAGGGTTAAATGAACTGATCAATCTTTCCTGTCTATCCAATAACTTGCATTTAAAAGAGGGAGCATTATTTTGTCGTTCATTTCTGAGATACAGAAATTTTTTTCGTCATTGATTTGCAGCAGAACTCTGAATTCTGGCTGCAAAAAGATGCCAGAGAGCAAATGAGGCAAAATGACAGATTCAGGTAAAACATGAGCAGGCGGCTCACAACAAGTAATGCAGTGCGTGCCAGTCCTGCTCTTCCCTGGAGATGGGGCAGAAATGCCTCAGAAAGAACAGATGGAAACAGCTGCCAACAGATGAACACTGGAAAAGATTCAAGCCACAGTACTTGCTGCAACTCGGGAGTTAGAGGCCTGAGCTTACCATGACAGGTATTAAGATTGTGAACCAGGCAGCTGTCGGTCAATCCTTGGATATGAGAGCAGAAAAAGCTGCTATAGAATGAAATCCATCTACAAGACATTCTCCAGGATCTTTGTAATTCCAGTATGAAAAAGTAAAGTACGTCTCTAACCACAGTGCTCCAGAACAAATTTGTCAAACTGAATTCCTTCATGCTCCCAGACAAAACAGATCTGAGCTGTTGGGTCTGTAAAGTCTTGCTTACACTTCTACATGGAGAGTTCAGGTGGATTGCATTTAACTAATAGGAGCTTGCAATTTTTTAATCCGGTTGTCTTTCTTACAGAAGAGGATACCAAGAGAGACGTTGGAAAACTGAGCCCTGATGACCTTTCTCAGCACTTGAACCAAACAGTGCTTTTGGTAGAACAGTGTCTTCCTCTTTTGTGCCCAGGATGAAGTCAAAGCCCCCCACAGGAGCCTGTAATGCTATAAGTGAGTTTTGCCTGGATGGAAGCAAGCCACCAGAGGTTATTTCTCAGAGAAGTCCTACGGTAAGAGGCTTCTTTAATCTGTGGTTGTACATAGTACTAAAATTAAAAGAACACTGCTAATGTATTTTTTGTGAATATGCTTGTGCCATAATTCATTCACTCAAAGCAGTGGTTTCTCTTGACCTTGAGATAAGATTTAACAGGTGGCAAAAAGATAAATTTAGGAAAACCAGTGACGTAATGCTGATAATTTTATGTTATCTTGCATATTTTCTAGCACACCATGAAGAATAAATAAATTGCAGAAGCTGAAGTGTCCTTGGCAAACAAACAAACAAAATAGCACCCTGTGATATTTTTACCTTTGCTTCTCCTCACCAAACACACTGCTCACTCCCACAGAGCTTGAAATATTAACCCAGCACGTTAATTTATTTCTTCCAGAGTTGCCCTGGCTGTTGGATTTAACCTCTCTCTTGGGAGTACTTCTAAACCAAATGGCTGACTCCATCTCTAGCTTTGTTAATTAAGCACATTACTTTGTTTCTTTTTTCACATAGTTTAATGTAATTGGCATTTGTGCAGCTTTTTAAAGCCATGTTTGGGCCTACATTTTGTACAGCTGGCTCTGATCTGCAAGCTATTTCAAGCGTTTAGTTCTCTAGAAGACCGCCTTTGGAGTGTAGAACATCTGTGCTAAGTACATCCCATGCTTCCTTTCCAAAATGAAGGAAATGACTGGTGTGACACATGTTCTGCCCTGTGTACATTTGTATTTCTATGGCATTACACTTGTAATGGGAACATTGAATGCTCTGTTTGAGAAAGAGAACTTCATCTACAAGCTGCTGTGATAATATTTGCCTATACTATAGTCTTTGTCCCAATCACCTTTATGCAACTCATGGGGACATGTTACCATATAGACATAAAAGCCTGTGGTTTTTCACATGTAAGTGAATCTTGCAAGTCATGAATTCCTACAGATAAGGGTACCAAAGTTGTGTCAACTGGCAAGAAAGACTGATGGAGTTACAGTAGACAGACATCCAGCTCATTAATTTCAGTTATCTTGGCATGAGACGATATTCTGTACCTGAATTGAAGAAGTATATATAAAAATTTAGGAAAAAAATAGATCAGTCCATTGGAGAAATGGTCTCTCTCTCTTTTTTTTATACAAATGCTGCCCTCCAGTGGTCTGGAAAAACAAAACCAACAACCGATAAACACAGTGCTTATTGATTGCAGGAATGTAATTTCTGCTCACATTGTAGCAAGTAGAAAAGAATTGTACCTCTCAGTATCACTTGGATTGTCTAGGCTCCAGCCTCAGGAAACCCACACGTGGCATAAGGCAAGGTGAAGGCAGTTGTAACAACAGGGTATTGCTTTACCAGTATAGGCCTACTGGCTCTTTTCTGTGAATGATCAGCTGAAAATAAATTCTTTTTCATTAATGGCAGAATCGTAATGCTCTGCCACTCAATGACAGTCAAAACTGCTGACTTCAAATAGAACCACATGTGAGGAAATAGTTATGAGTTGAACATACAGGTTTCAGAGAGCATTTGTTCCCAAATGTTTGGATTTTCTGAACAAAAGCAGCCTGGCTGGCAGTCAGTCAGAGACAGTGCAGCACTCAGTGGCTGTCAGTCAACCAAGGGGACCATTCTATCCTCCCAGAATATGAATCCTGATGCACAGTATAAATCCTGATGAGCCACACGTAAAGCACAAGTCATTCAGATTTTGTCTTTTGAATATGGCAAGCAGCATTACGATTGTTTTAGGAAAGCATCAATGTGAAGGAATGTTGCATGACCAAAGTGTAAGGTAGATAATCTCTAGGTGTGTTGCCTCCACACTTCCTTGCATGGCTTGAAATGTTCTTTCCAAACGTGTGAGACCATTTCTCAGCATGTCCTGTTCTACACTTCCATTTTAGGTGGAGGTGACTGCATGCCAGGAAATTCACACCCTGCTGAAGGACTCCTTCACCAGAGAATGGCACTGCAATCCTTCTGCCACCTCCTGCTCTTGTGCACGTGCCTTCTGTTATGTAAACAGTCTCCCCCAGCACTTCTGACATCTCTACTGCGCAGTGAGTTCAAACCTTTTCTCTTTCCTTTTGTCTTCTTTTTCACATAAATAAACCAAAGGAAAATAGGCTGCTTTTCTCAAATTTGTGCATTAATAGACAAAAACCTAGCTATTCCTTCAATTTTTCACTCTCTCTCCTTAGAAGCCTCTTTGGTAATGAAATACTTGACTTTTTCCAACATGTTTTTCCTGGTTTATGGGGCTTCAGGTGCTGAATGAAGGCTGTGACTGTTTTTGCTGTTTCCCCACCTATTGATTACCTGTTACTGAAAAGATGAGAAAACAGAACGTTGAACTCACCGAAAGGGATTTCGGAAATAACTGCAATTTGCACGGTGTCCAGCAGATGCTGCTGTTGGACAAAGAAAACCAAACAGCTCAAGGTCAGTTTCAGTGGATTAGGGAGAACCTGTGCTTCAGAGGGCTTTTGCAGTTCCAGGTTGTTATTCAGCCCCTCAGATCTGGTTCGTAGAGACTGGGAGACCCATCTCACAACCATGTGCTTGCAATATTAGGTGACTGTGCTGAGCCCCAGAACTCTGAATAATTCAATCTGACTCCAAGCAAAAAAAATAAATACAAACAAAAAAAAAAAACAACCAAAGCACCAAACCCACTGCCATTACAGCCTCCCTCCCTCTCTCTGATGAAGTGGTTATTGGTTGTCAGTTTTTAATGCATTTTCATATAAGTAATGGAAAGCTTCACTTCACAGGCAGCATTTTCCTTCCTGTTGATAAATATAGGATTATTTGTTGAGTCTTATCCGATGTTGATAAGACCCACGAGGAAGATAAGTTGGTGATGTTTTAGAAAGAAATGTGAGCTTAGTGTCATGCCAACTGTATTACTGGGAAGACCCTGAGGTTTTTTGTAACTCTGTGGTTATAGGGTAGATCAGCATTCATTAACTTATATTGTTCAGACGTTATTCAGAAGTGTCTACATATGTGAAAGTTTTATTTCTGGGTCTTGCCCATAGGGATGTCTCTAGGCTCCTTCTGCTGGCTCAGATAGCTTTGTCAGACATTGCTAACTCCTGGTGAGACCTTGGTGGGAAAAGGCAAAGGAGGCTCTTCTGTATGACACTAGGATTCATTTCGTGCCATTAGCCCTGAATCTCGACTACTGACTGTCAAACCACAAGTTTCTACTCAACAACATTCCCAGGTGTACAACAGGCTCTGCACAGGCCATTGAGGGAAGGTCTTGGCTGTGGAAGAGATTTACAGGAAAGCACATGATCCAAAGGTTCACCTTTGGATGATGTTCTTCTGGAGATGTTAATACCAATTCTGTGAGTAGAATGAGCCAGCTCTCCCCTTTGCAATATTTGACCCTTTGAAATATCTCTGCAAAATGCAATCTGTAAAATGAAAACTCCCTTCCCTTCCACATTCAGCAATGCCTATCATGTCTTTGAAATAACAAGTCATTCTAAAAGAGCAGCACTGATACAAGGCAATTGCCCACTTTGTATTTATTTAATAGTGTTAGATACAGAAGATAAAATATTTTAATATTTTTTCACATTCAGAACAGCTGCTTTCCTTTAATTATTAGTAGTTTGCTGACTTTTCCTTGGAGGTGGCCTTCCATAGGAAATGCCAGACAGCTCTAAAACCTTCACTGAAAAGTTTTCCACCCACGATCCGTCTGGCCCTGTCCTGTCTTGTCAAATCAGCTTGGATAAATGAGGACTCAGGCTTGCAGAGTCCTCAGTTCTCCCCAAGCTCTGCATGTCAGTACAATTGTCCAGATTCAGTCCTTTTTGGTCTTTCCCATCCTGCAGCACATTGATTCAGAATTGTACTATAAGTTGATGACTTCAGAGTGTTGGTCTGTGTAGTGCACACTTGTGTGTTCCTGTAGGTCAAGCTAGACTGCATTCTGTCTTGCAGGATGATCCCTACATGATCCTAACTGGGATGATAATGGATCCCAATTAAGGAAGCAACATTTGCAAATGTTGGGTCAGCCTTGTGCCCATTCTCTGCTCTGCCTGTGTCCCATGTCACCACTGAAACAAAGCTCTGAGTCCAAATGATGTCCAACTTTGAAATGTTTCCACGTTGGCAGGGCTGTATTAGCAATGTGCCGTCCCCTTGATGCATGGAGTAACTTCAGGCATTTATTTTAAATATATCACCTTAGAAACAGACGTGAAAAAATGCACGCATTTTCTTAAGTTGAAAAATAAATACAGCTGTAATCTAAAGGTATGTTTATCAGCACTGATGCCCCTTGGCCTTACTCCAGTGGATTTCTCTCACTGACATCAGTGGGAAAAAGATGGGCTCTGCACAGTAAATCTAGGAATACTTTTTTCTTCTTTATCCATCCATCTATTTTGGGATGTGCTAAATGCTTGCTCTCTGTTGTAACATTAACATCAGTATGTGGAAACTTGGGTTGCTAAAATAAATCAGTGAAATGCAATATACATGACTTCACATAGAACTGCATGTACATTGTTGAGCACAAGCACTCTGTGTCCGCTGTGCCATGCCAGCTGGACCCATGGTGCTTCCTATTGTACCCCACGGGGTCCCAGAGTGAGGCAGGGGTGAGCTTTGTGCTTCTCAGTTGGATCTTCTTAGTTCCTGACTCTGGAAAATATTTCTTGATTGCCATTACTGTGCCTGTACGTTTGAATTCATGACACTTTCACCAGCCACAGAGCACAGGGATGGCAAGGTCTATAGTACTTCTCAGTAGTGTCTTTTCCATATGGGCCTGATTGTTCACTGGAGGCAATGGAATTATCATCTATATGGGAAGCTCTGATTTGCGGGGATCTGACTGTGTTTCTTTAGTTTTTGTGAGTCAATGACACTGCCTCCAATCAGACTAAAGTGGGACTTTTTTCTGATCTTAGCAGTTGCTCCTGATTCATGCTAGTGTGAATTAGAACGCTGAAATTCATTTAATTCTTATTTTTAGGGGGAAAAAATGAATGTAAATAAGGGGAATAAAAAAGGGAAAAGCTGAACTTTTACAAGCTGGACTGTGTTTTCTGCCCACAGCGAAGCCAACAGGAGACTCTTACAAAGCTGGATGTTGGTTAAGGTGCCGAGAGGGCAGCCCTGCCCCAGCCTCTCTGACCAGTCAAGCCTGGTGTGCCCACACAGCAGCCCTGTGTCCTCTGTGCCCCCATTCGTCATCCACTGTGGTCACCGCCGTATGCACGATGGAGCTCATGAGTTGTTCCTTCCTTCTTCCTTTTGAAGAGGTACAAGCTGCACTAATTCCTTCAGTAATAATCACCTAAGGGGGAATACAGTGACTGATCTGTCATCAAATGCTCAGAGCTGATGATGGTATCTGTTGTTTATTTGTTTGGCTGTTCTTTTCTCTGTGAAGTTTAAACAAGAGCCATAAGTCATAGGGATATGAGAAGGATCAGGTTGTTGTGTGTGGGCTTCAGCAACTGTCCAAATGTACAGATACACCCTGATACTTGCTTATCAATGACAATCTGCTCAGAGCTTCATGTTTTTCAGTTTTGTGGCAAGCTTGCAAGGTTACATATATACCCTGAATGAAACATACCCCACCGGTTATTTTTAGAGAGGCTCTAAACAAGAAGCAAATCCCTGGAGCAGTGCTGCCAGAGATGCTTAAAGTTCAAATCCAAATTAAAACTGCCAATCTTGGGCTTAAATTCCAACCTGAACTTGAGGAAAACTGTGATCTGTACCTTGAACTTTGTGACAGAAAGCGACTTCTAAGTGTTTTCTAATGCCTGAGTGTATATGAATATGGTAAGTCACCTAAAACTAGATCTTACATGGAAAATCTGAATATTTGGGAATGTAGTTCCTGATCTTGCAAAATATTGTTGTAAGGCTTTAATTCATAGTAGCTGCAATGGAATCTGGAGAGTTTAATTTATTAGGACTCCCACTTCTATTACGGCTTTGTAAGCTCTCATCATGTAATTGTGAGGTAAATGTGCTTATTTACCTCACAGACCTTCTTAGTGAAGACCTCTGATGTGTAAGACTTGGTTTAGAAATCACTAGGATACCACAGGAAGAAAGCCAACCCCTTTTCAGCAATGTCTTTGCACAAATTAACTGAAAGTGGCGCAGCTGAAGCAAGCACTTGATTTCTTTGCTGAATCAGAGCCTGTGTCTTCTTCCTGCCAAGGCAGCGATCTTAACACCGTTCCTAAATGCACCAGTAACTCTAGAAGCTCTAATGAAAGTCAAGATAATGCCACAGATTTTATAAATAAGGGTCTTTATTTAGAATACTGTTGAAGACATTCTTGGCAATCACATCGTATAAATATATAAAGTTAAAGTTTGGCACAACAAACCAAGCAACATTAAATATATATATTTTTATTTTTTCCTATGTTTGTTTTTAATTTTAGCTTTCTTTTTGTTTTCTCTTTTTCTTCTGTTTTTCTTTTCTTTTTTCTTTTTTCCTTTTTTCTTTTCTTTTTTTTTTCTTTTTTTTTTTTTTTTTTTTGCAAAGCAACTCTTATTTACAGTTATACAAAAAGTTTTATAAAAAATGGTCCACAACCTTATTTTGGCCAGAACAGGGGTAATAAGAAGAAGGATCTGTCACGCCACTGCTGTTGTAGATTTCTTTTTTCCTCCGTATTCAAGAGCCAGGTTCCTATTCTCCAAAGCCCAAATTTAACATTGGCCATTTCCCCGTATACGCTTTTATCTCTAGACATATTAAATAAATTTAGTTTAGCAACCAATAAATAACTAAGTGTATTCTGTAGTAGTACAGGTTTGAAAACTTACAGAAGGAATTTTGCATGATATTTTAAAACTGAAACAAGTCTTGAAGTCTCTTCTGCTTTAGAAGGCAAGTCTTGGAGCTTGGCTGAATGGAGCAATTTGTTCTCGGCGCAGTCCAGCTGGACCTGCCTTTATAGCACTTGGTAAATCGGATTGCTGCTGCTGCTGCTGCTGCTGCTGCTGTCCTGGGGAAGCGGGGTGCAGTTGGTGGGAGAAGGAATCTGGGCTCCACTGTCATTCAGGCTTGCTCCTTCCTGGGGGGAACAGGGACTCCCTTCAGCAACAGCTTCAGCTGGAGGCAGTATTGGACATGTGGAGTTGTCTGTGGAAATCCTCTCCACAATGCTTGAGAGGCAGTCAAGGCTGGAAACAACAGAACTCTTCCCATGCTTTGGGTCTAAAAACAAAGAGAAATGTGATCCATTTATCCACTGTGTACTTAAATTGTAAGATGTAGATCTTTCATAAAACCCCAGCAAGCAGCTGAAGTACGTGTCTGAGAGCATGCAAAAAATCAGAGGAAATGAGTATGAGTGAAGGGTGCCAGCTGTCAGGAAAAGAATTGTAATCTCTGAAACAGAGAAGAGACCCAAGTGAAACACGCTGCTACTCAGGGAGGGTGGATTCAGTCTTCAGAAAGGGAATGGAAGATTGGAATTCTGTCAGGCATCTCTCCAGTTTGGATTAATGATACCTGGTTAGAACAGGTATTAGGCTTCACGCAAAATGGGGTTAAGACTAGAAATCAGTCGCAGAGAGGGATGTATACCTAGATGCTCTATTTGCGAAACAGGAAATGCAGCTCTAACATATCCCCTATACTTGCAAATACATTTACATGAAATCCAGTGCTTCTGCCAGCATCAGCAGCTCATTGGCTGGACAGTGAGGCTCCTTCTCCAGCCTGGCTAAGTGACTGGGGACAGAGAAGGCCACTGGCTGCCCCCATCCTCCATGCTTCACACAGCCATATTCTCAACAGCAGATACTCACCATTTGGTGATTCCGCGTAGTAGCTGCTGTCGTAGCTGTTTCTCCTGCGAGAGCTGCAAGGCGGCCCACTGTACTCCATCTAGAAAGGAGAATAATCTGAGTGAGGCTGGGGGACTGCCTATTCCACAGGTCCCAGGAGCCATCTGATTTTGTATTTCAGTGGCTAATCTGTGCCATCACTCTCAGCCAAAATGCTGTCAAGTTTGTGTTGTAGAATGAAGCAGACAGAATTAACTAAAAAAAAAGGAATGGATTTACACTAGAATATTTATGTGTCGTGTTCGTTCCAAAGGGAAATTACCACCATCCCTATGACTGACGCTGTGGTTTTCTCAGAGATGAGGTTTTCCAGCAGTCTCATGTATGCCTGTGGTCAGTTTAGAAAAGGCAACTCAAGAGAGGAAGGGATTCTTTTGATCTAACTTTGAAAGAGTTTCCCAAACATGAGAAAGCCACTTTTCCTCTGAGAAAGCCACTACTCTACCTTCGGATTTCTTTCAGTTTCTCTTCCTACTCTGGTTTTGTAAAGAAAAACCGTTAAACCCTGACCAATATGTATCTGGTCAATATGTGAATCTACAATTAAAAGGCTATATTTTGAAGAGGGGACATTTGTAACTCTCTCCCATCTGCCAACTATTTCACAGTCCCAAGTACTCAGCTCAGTGATTATTAACCCCACTAGAAAACAGAAAAAAATCCCAGAAGTGCTCTTGTGGTCCCATTCTCGGCAGCAGTCCTGCAGCCACCCTTGTCCTCTCCCCATAACCCAAGGCTCTAAGCCTGGGCTCTTTTTTCTGCTGCCAGTAAATGTCTGCAGAGGGATCAAGTGAGAGGAAAGCTGGCCTTCTTCATAAGGGTCAAGGAAAACAACTCCCGCTACTTGGGCCATCCTCTTGTTATCCTGATGAATGACAGAAAACAAACCTTAGACTTGATAGGTTGCCCTGCGTGTTTTCCTCTGCAATTCCCACACCAAGGGGAGCTGCCTCACTGCTGTCCTTCGAGGAACAGACAGCAGAGCATGAAATCAAAGGTGCCCAGGGACCATGTGCTCCCAGGCAACCTCCCACAGAGCTCCCAGGCACACAGGGACTGCCTAACCTTCCTCCCAGGAATCTAACAGATTTCCTTTCTCTTCCCAGAGACCTGGTGTGTGGGGACCCTGCCTCCCTCTGCTGCTGGACTACAAGGAGGAAGGACCTCATCTCCTGCCTGGGGCACTCACCATGCCATCGGAGCAGTTGGAGCGAGGGCTGGAGGCATCTGACTCCCCGCTGTAGTGCTCCAGCACCGGGTAGTACGCATCCTCCTGCTCGCGCAGCAGGGCCTGTAGGCTCTCAATGTAGCGGATGGCGTTGCGCAGGATCTCCACCTTGGGCAGGCGCTGGTTGGGGTTGGTGGAGGTGCAGCGCTTGAGGGTCTCGAAGGCCTCGTTGACCTTGCTGAGCCGCCGCCGCTCCCTCATGGTGGCAGCTTTGCGGCGGTCGGCGTTGGTGGTCTTCCTCTTGCAGGCCTTGCACGCCCACAGCAGGCAGCGGCCGGCCTGGTGGTGCCCGCTGGGTGCCCGCACATGTTCCTCCTCATGTGGGTGCCCGTGGTGGTGCCCATGGTGGTGCGGGTGCTCCTCGGGCTTCAGCAGCCCGCCCACATGCACCAGCCTGGGGTCCAGGTCCTCAAAGAAGTGCATGTCCGACGTGTTGAAGCACGGGTCATCATAGAAGTCATCGGCGGCCGTGAAGGAGCAGAGGGAGCCCTCCGTCATCTCCATGGGGCCCAGTAAGTCCATGGGGGCGGTTGGGAGCGGAGCGGGGCAGGACGGCGGTCGGGGGGCACGGGGGGTCCCGAGGGCAGCTGTATGAGGCAGGCACAGAGCGGGGCCGTTGCACCCTAAGCCAGGTGAGGCTACCGGCGCAAGTCGCTGCTGCCGCCACCACCACCACTACCACCACTACCGACCCCTCTCCAGCCGCGCCGCCCCGGGAGCGCCGCTCGGGGCCGTATTTATGCCGGAGCCCCCAGCGGGCCGGGGCGGGGCGCGGCGGGGCGGGGAGGGGGCCGCGGCTGACGGAGCCCCCGGAGCCTCGGCCCCCTGCGGGGTGGGGAGGGGGAGCTGCGCGCGGCGGCACGGCTCGGGCCGAGCGGCCCGCGGGTGCCGGAGTCCCGCGCCTCGCCCGGCGGGACGGCCGCGGCCGCGCGGTAACTGAGGGGGCGTCCGCGACGGAGCCGGGGCGGCGGGGCGAGAGCGGCAACGGGGTCGGGGCTGCGGCGCGGCGCGGCCGCCTGCAGGGGGGAGTAGCGGCTCGCGGCCGTCGGCGGAGCTCGGCGAAGTGGAGGGAAGGGGAGCGAACCGCCCCGTCGGAGCTGCGGGAAAAGGCTCCGGGCCCGTCCGGCGGCTCGCGGAGCCCTGCGCCCTTCGCCCCGCAGCGAGGCGCCGGGGCTGCTGCCGCGTGCCTTCCGTCGGCGGCCGGGCGCGTGACGCCGGGCGGGAGCTGTTCTGTCAGAACCGCAGCGCAGCGCCCGCAGGATGGGCCCCGGAGCCGCGAGGTGTCGGGCGGGGCTCGGGCGCGGCTATCGGAGCTCGGGCTGAGGCGCGGGGCTGAGCGGGAGGGCGAGGCTTGTCCGAGCGCGCTGCGGGCACGGCGACTGCGGGAAGCGCGTGGCTCCTCAGCTGAGCCTGCGGCCGTGTCTCTGCAGTGACACACCTGAGTTACAGTAAGTGACTCTTTGCACCTCGGCTCACGTGTGTACATCTGCGTTTCAGGTTTCTCTTTGAGCTCGAGACTCAGCTTACCTTAATTCCAAAGCCGTTGAAGAGATTGACGTCGCGTCGTGAGTAGTGTTGTGCTGCACGTGTAACGGCGCTGCGGCCCTATTGCTTGTGCAATACGGGTGTGTTGCTTCGGGCCGATATGCATGGCGGTCGGGGATGTGAAAGAGCAGGACGGCTTTGGTAATGTCTCTTAAGGCTGCCGGAGTCTGGGTTTGGAATATCACTTAAGCTGGGAAGTTTGGGTCTTTCTCCAATACAGAAGTACTGCAGCAGTTCAGCTCTGTGATTTCATTAACTTTATGATTCAGGGAGTTATGGATTCCATGGGCTAAAATTAGCCTCCATTCTGCAGTTATAAGTGCTGGTGACATTCCTACTCCTTTAAAATCAAAGACAAAGCTCCCCCTGCAGCAAAGCTGAGAGCATCTCAGAAGGTGACAGAGGCATCAGTTGGCGGTCGGGCCCATGGTCCCCACACCTGTGGCAGCTCAGATGGGCTGTCACTATGCTGGGTTCTTCTGCTGTTCTATCATTCAATTTTTGCAAAAATTCCCAATCTGCAGCCCTCATTTTCTACTTACTTACGTGTTTTGAAGTACAGAGATAAGAATTGTTAGTCACATTCTGTCATTACCCCAAAGATCAATTTTTTTTTTTAAAGTAGATGTTTTGGACTCTGTACAAGTTTGTTCTTTCACTGCATCCAGTGCTGAAAAACAATCCACCCCAAGGAGAGCAGCTATTAATCAGCCCTACACATGCAGAAGTGTATCTCCCAGCTGTTCTGAGGCAGAGCAGCAAGCTCATGAAAACACTCTACTGTTATTGTAGAGGCTCTTTGATACGGAAGGAGAGAACAGAATGTTTGTTTTAACCTTTACAGAACAGCTAAAGTAAAAATAATTTGTATTCAAAACAATGTTTTGTATACAGTAAGACAAAACAAGTAAAAATGATGAATAGTTATATGGTTTAACAGCTGTGCATTGGTTGTCAAGCACTGGTGCTGGCCTTGCTGATCCACTCAAAACACGGAAACTTTCCTCAGGTCATTGGTTTAATTTGTGGAAATGCTAATTTTGCTAATATTTACCTAAAGCTACAGCATAATCTGTCACTGTGAGTGTGCATCTAGGTTGTATCTGACCCCAGGACACCAGGAAAAGGCATTTGAGGACTGGCACGCATAGTGGTTAATTTGGGCAGAGTGGTAACAGATGGTGAGACTTGGACAGGCAATACTGAGAGACTGCCAGTAATTGCCTATGAATGCTCCTAAGTGCATGAGCTCACCTAAGTGGAAAAGTCAGGAGAAAGCCATGACCAGCTGGTGAATTCTGCTCAGAATTGTCTTGCAGTGAAGCTGCCCTTGAGCAGCTTCAACCTGCTTTAACAGGGGGTTAGACTAGATCATCTCCCCTGGCCTTCTGGCCTCTATGATTCTGTGAGGATGCATTCCCTGCTGCTGGCACCAAAAGTCCAATTATCTTTCTAGTATTTTGCCCAAGGATAGGTTTGTCCAAAAAGATGTTGTGGGCCAGAAAAAAGCAAAGAACGGTATTCCAAGATGCTCTTCTCAATGTTGTGTGGCCAGAGTGGAGAAGAGGAAGGATATGCCATGATCTTCTCCAAGAGACTTGAAGTGAATTCCACACTCTGGTTGCAGACAGCAGCAAGCTCCCTTTCCCTACAACCACAGGAATTTCTTACGGCAGCATTTGGAAATACACCGCTTTTGATTCCTGTTTGGAAGCCTCTGTTGCAGTAACTCATAATTTTAAGTAAAGAATAGGTCTCTTCAGAGCTTCCAATTTGAATGCTATATTTACTGCAGTGATGCTTCTGTGGCTATACTGGATTATTTGGGCTTTGCTTTGCAAGAGCAGATACAGAGTGCATGTATGACCGAGCGTTCAGCAGAGGAAGAGTATCTGTACAGCTGCTCTAAATGCTGTTGACCTTATACCTGTTTTACTCTGACCCTTCATCTCATTTTCACAGGGCATGGTTGAAACAAAGCTGAGAAAAGAGTGGCAGGTTGTACTTCCTGCACTGCGAAGCATGGAGGGGATCATCCTGTACACAGCAGACAGGTACTGATGACAAAGAGATCACAGGCACATGTGCCTCACAGCCTTGTCACATGAACAAGAAAAGCTTTGGTTATCTACGGTACCTGATTTTTTCTTTTTCAGAAGATACACTGGGAAAACAGCTGACTGCGAGATTACCTAAAAAGAATTGTCTCTTCGGGCAGAATCTGGAAGGTATTTCAGAAGAGAGAGAGAAAGGCCTAAAATCTGAAAGAGTACTGGCATGTTTGGCTACAAAGATAATGAGAGAAGAGCCTCTGAGAAGCACGACTGACAATATTTCAGGGAAGAAGCAGCAGCAAGTAAGTCTCACACTGAAAAGTTTAAGTGTTGGGCTCCTGGTTCTGTTGGAATTCATTTAAGATCTTCAGTACTTGAAACTGATGCCTGTATTGTAGGTTAACAACTCTTAAAGGAGACCGCTGTATATCAAACGTTGCCTACTAGCCATGTAGTTTATAACTCAACTAGCAGTTTTGGTCTGTTCATACTTAGTGAGCTATGTATTAATACTGAGAAGGACGAATTCCATTGCTCTTATTCATGTTGAGTTGCAGTCAGTGGAACTGATTGTTGAATAAGGTATGCTCAGCGTGAGGGTGGGTTTTGGAATCTAGCCCGGATGGAAATATCTGTTGAACTACTGCTGTGTTTGAGAGCAGCCACCCCAAACAGATGAATCCAGCATGTTGCTAAAAGCATTTCAAACCATTCTTGTGGCACAATGCAGTATTTTTACTGGAGAATACAGGAGATGTTTTAAATTTTCCCAACTAAAAGAAAAAACGTTGAGTCATTGTACTAGAAAGACGAGGAAAGCATCAATGCTGTAATCATCTGTCTTGTGTTGCAACACTAACAGAAATTAAGGGGTCTACACAGCTTTACAGCAATGGGTACTTAACTGCAGCTGTGTAAGGGAGTCAAAGCATTTACTGGGAGTGTTTCATTGTGCTTTTTTTCACCTTACTACAGTCTTCTAGCATTTATTTTCATTCTGTAGTCTATTGCTTTCATCTTTAAATTCATCCGTGCAACCTTCTCAACCACAGTTACTGGTGTTGTTTCATGTACGTATGCAAAATCTCTTGGAAAGTACTGTCATGCTTATAATATAAAATGAGGAATACAATGCAAATGCAAAGTACCATTTTTTAATATGGAACTGAATTTATTGTCAAACATTATAGGAACACTGTTTGCAGCATTACATAAAACTAAGAATCTTTCAAGGAAGCAAACCCCAAATGCATAAAATATGGTATAAAAAAAACAAAACAATTCACAACCTAGCTGCAAACAGCTGATCTAGCCAGCTGCTCTTCCTAGGTGACCTTGGTAGCCAGTATAGTGAAAGAGAGGCACTCCTGTAGGAGGTGAATGGAAGGAATTTAGAATCACAGAATATCCAGGGTTGGTAAAGATCCATGAGGATCATCGAGTCCAACTCCTGACTCCACACAGGACAATGTAAGAGTTAAGCCATGTGCCTAAGAGCATTGGTCTTATTCCTGCTGTGGAGGAAGTATTTGCATCCTTCATCTTGGAGAAGTATACAACTATAGAAACAGCTGGGTTGTAAGTAAATTAATTGGACTACTTATTTTAACTGCTACTATGATAGAAATAAGCAAATAAAACCTTGTCTTAAAGCAAGTCTTTTAAAAAGTCCATTACATTGTGTTAGTATGCTAATATAAAATTTCTAATATAAAATCTGATAATATAAAACTAAATCTTTGAGTTTCCTCCCATATAGACATTTCTTTTTACTAAAGTTTTTTTGTTGTTGTTGTTTTTAATAAAAGTTGTATATACTGCTAACATAATTTGCATTAGCTAACCCTATTAAGACAGAAGAGGCCTAGAAGCTTTTGGTTTCTAGGAAGAATTGCATAGGTAAAAATGCAATGAATGCTTATCAATTTCTGTAACTAGCAACCTTGCTGTCATTTAAACAAGACAATGGAATGGGCTGGATTTTGAGCTGTGGCTCAAATGAGGATGAGGTTGTAAAGAGGGGGAAGTGAAAATCATCGAGTCCCCCAAGTTCTAGTCTCCAGGCCACTCTTCTCTGTGCAGGTCTGCCTTCAGAGCTGGACCACAGTGATAATAGCTACAGCATTAAAGTACCTCCCTCCCGTTTCATTTTTGCTCCCATCCCATCGTTATTACACTGTGGCAGTGTGGCAGTGCAGTGTATGGTTGCATATATTGGCCCTATGCTGTTCCTGTGCTGGGAAAATTCTTTCTGCGGTCGCTTCAGACCCTCTGAAGCTCCTGCACACTGCTGGAGAGGCGGACAGGGGCTGCACTGCTGACTAGACTCTGGTTCTATGCCTGTTCTGAACTCTTTCTGCAACTGGTCCATAAAGTAATCCCCAAGACTATTTCTGCCATCTTGGGAACAATCAAGCCTGCGAGCATTGGTCAGGAGATCTCCCATCATCTTGATCTTCTGGATTTTGGGCCCAATAAATTGTTTCTTGATAGTGCTTGCACTATGAGGATCTGCATTTTCAATGCTTAGGGCATAAAGCTCTTCAAAGTATCGTGTCAGAGTTTTCCACTGCATCATAGCTAGTTCCAGAGCTTTCACCAAACCAACAGCATAGTCACAATTTGGTTTCTAGAAACAAAGACAGAATTACATTTATTTAGAAGAACAGCTCATCTTTCCATACTCACTGTTTTCCTGCAGCTTCCTATCAAGAAGTCACATTAGGATTTAAAACTCCTAGTCTGGAGCATTTCTTTTTAGGATTTTATAACTCCTAGAAAATTAAACCTGGAAATCTAAGGGGATGAACGCAGAGATCTGAAGTACCAACAATATAATGCAAGAAATTAGAGTAACTACTGCTTATTGCAAATGCTTGAAAGCTCATTCCTTGCTACACACCTGGATGGTTTTAGAACAGTAATGGCCTCCTCTTTCTTGCTGATACTTCATCAAAGCTTCTGCGGCTTTTCTCTCTTCCAGAGCTTGATGCAGGAAGAACTTCGAAACATTTGGTAGAGCCACGTGTGACTGATCAAAATATTCACCCTAAAAAAAAAAAAAAAAAAAAAAAAAAAAAAACAACCCACACCACACAGATTGTTAAGACTTGCTAGAATCCAGGAGACTTTTCCAATGGGACTTTATCTACCCACAATCACTTTGAAGACCTTCATCCAAATTTCTACAATACAGTAAGTTTGGTGTCTTTACTAAAAAGTCTGTTTACTTCTATTACAGATCCTTCTGGCTTTTAATTCTAGAGAGGTAACTGTAATACTGATATAGTACTGTTGTTTGTCTCCAATACTGATGTTCTTTCTTGTTGGCAGAGATCCTTGGAATACAAATAAATTTCAAGGCATAGTCCCAGAACAGGGAACATAGGTGAAAAATAAGCTTTCAAAACTATTAAGATGAGGCAAGTGCAAAAGAGAACAAGCACAGTTTTGCATCTTCAACTAGTTCCAACACCCCTTGCCATAGGCAGGGCTGCCTTCACAAGCTTAGACTGCCCAGGACCCCATCCAACCTTGAATGCCTCCAGGAATGGGGCATCTGCGGCAGCTCTGGGCAGCCTGTGCCAGGCCCACACCACCTCCAAAGCTTCTTCCTAGCACCTAGCCTAATTTTCCCCTCTTTCGGTTTAAAGCCACACCTCCTTGTTCTACCACTACCAAACTGTGTAAAAAGCCAGTCCTCTCTCTCTGTATGCTCCCTTCAAGTACTGTAAGGCTGCAACAAGGTCTCCCCAGAAGCTTCTCTTCTCCAAGCTGAATAAGCCCAACTCCATCAGCCTTCATAGGAGAGGGGCTTCAGTGGAACTGAGGGAGTTACAGTGTTGTGATCTACTAGTTCCCTAAGTACGCATATGCAGTACAGCACAGCTTTTGCCTCTTGGATGGGCTCTGGACTGGAGCTCTGCTGTATGCTTATAGTCTAGGAGGGATACAGGACAAATGCGTGCCCTAATTCTGGAGGCACACCAGGCCAGCTGGATGGGGCTCTGGGCAGCCTGAGCTGGCAGGGGGCAGCCCTGCCCATGGCAGGGAGTTGGGGCTGGGTGGGCTCCCATTTGAGCCATTCTGTGCTTCTATGATTTCATAGATTTTTCTGCTTCTTCCTGTGCTGCTCACCTTGTTCTGTTGCTGTGTGTAAATACAAAGTAAATGCTTCATCTGTGTTGTTCATCTCTTTAAAAAAACTTGCAGAAAAGTTACACGTGCAAGACAGTGTTTTGTTACTGTGATAAGCAGCTGGGATGCCCCAACCTGTGCATGGCAATAAAGCTTCTGAGAGCAGGGCCACGCTGGAAATGTTGCATTAACAACCCCCATTGCTGTAACAAGCCTTGTCCTGCGCTCACTTTCACCTTGCTGTTCACAGAAGCAACAAGATTCCATATTTTGCAGCCACAGAAGGAAAGTTACCATGCCTGCTTAACCGCTCAGGTAAATATTTTATGTACATAATTAACTACTTATAGGATGTTAACGTTTTCAAGGTTTTTTTTTATTTAATTTATCCACCGTCTGTTCTTAACTGAGCAGCACCCACCCCACGCCCCTACCAGCCACCAGGGTCACCCACCGCCCGGCCTTCCCGCCGCCTTACCAGCGCCTGCAGGCTGTAGGCGAGCTCCAGCAGGGCGCCGGTCACCCCGCACAGGCCCTCCTCCACGGCAGCCGGGAAGTTCTGCCTCACGCGGCTGCCGGGCAGCGGGCGGTGCGCCGGGCAGGCGGGCAGCGTGACGCGGGGCCGCTTGGAGCGCGGCTCGGCCATAGCGGGCGCCGCCATGGGGCAGCCGCGCCGCCGCGCCGCCCCGGCTGATATAGCGGCGGGCACCTGGGCCGCACCTCGCCTCCGCCCGCCTCCCGCCCGACCGGGGGAGGAGGGAGCCGCGGCGCCGCCATTTCCTGCGTGCCCGTGGGCGGCGCGCCCTGAGCCCTGCAGGGTCACGTCAGGTGCGTTAGCGGCGCTGCTCCGTTTGCACGCTGGCCCCAAAGCTAGGCTCCTTCAGCCGCCATGTCACGGAGGTGCAGCTCCGCGTGCTGTTCTTTGAGCGTTTGCTTTCAACGCATAGAAGCCGCTGGAGTGGAAATGTGGCCCAACGCCCTGCAGATGGGATAACTTTCACGTGGGACCTTGTGCTGAGTCAGCTCAACCCTGCGTGCCGCTTTGTGCGATGTATTCTAGCAGCTCGTTCTGCTCTCTCTCAGACCTGTTCTGAGGATTAAGGGCAGCCCTGTTAGCCTGTTCCATGCTGTAATTGTAATTGGGTTCGACTGCCTGAGAGCTGGTGGTAGGGTGTGAGAGCTGCTCTGCAGAAACATGCCTGTTTCCACTTTGGTGCCTCCATCTTCCCTCCATCTTCTGCAGTACTCTGCCCTTGTTTAATGTAACTAATCATATTTTAGTGCTTAGAATCACAGAATGGCTCGGGTTGGTGGGGATCTTAAAGCCCACCCAGATTGGACAGCTATGGATTTGATGGGTGGACTGTTTAATGGACAAGGAACTGGCTGTGAGATTGTACCTGGAGAGGGGTGGTCAATGGTTCACTGTCCAGGTGGAGATCAATGACAAGCGCCAGTGCCTCAGGTCAGTGCTGTGACCATTGCTGTTCATCAACAGTGGGATTGAGTGCTCTCTCAGCAAGTCAGCGGATAACACTAAGCTTTGTGGTTCTGTGGTTCAGTGGACATGCCTAAAGGATGGGTGCTGTTCAGAGAGAACCTAGACAGGGTCAAGCAGTTGGCCCAGGCGTGAACCTCATGAGGTTCAACAAAGCCAAAGGCAAGGTCTTGGCTTTGGACATGGTGGTGCTGGTGGACAGCAAGTTGGATGTGAGCCAACGATGTGGCCTTGCAGGGCAGAAAGCCAACTGTATTCTGGGCTGCATCAAAAAGAGTGTGGTCAGAAAGGCAAAGGAGGTGATTCTGCCCCTCTACTCTGCACCGGTGAGACCTCACCTGAAATACTGCATCCAGATGTGGAGTCCTCAGTACAGGAGAGATGTGGACCTCTTAGAGTGTGTCCAGAGGAAGGCCGCAAAAATGATCCAAGGGGTGGAACACCTCTGTAAGGTCCCCTAAGAGGAAAGGCTGAGAGAGATGGGGCTGTTCAGCGTGGAGAACAGGCTCATGGGGATCTCCTCCTGTGGACACCTGCAGGAGATACCTGGGGAGACTTGAGAGCAATCTTTTAGTGTCTAAAGGAGGTCTATAAGAAAGAAGAGGAACAGACTCTTTAGCAGCATCTGTTGTGATAAGACAAGGGGAAATGGTTTCAAGCTAGAAGAGAGGAGATTTAGACTGAATGTAAGCAAAAGGTTGTTTTTTTTTTTTTTCCACAGGTAGGGGATTGAGACACTGGAATAGGTTGCCCCAAGAGCTGTTGGATGCCCTGCCCCTGGAGACATTGAAGGTCAGGCTAAGTGGAGCTCTGAGCTGTAGGTGTCCCTATTCATTGCAGGGAGGTTGGATTAGATGGCCTTTAAGGGTCCTTTCCAACTCAAGTGATTCTATGATTCTATAATACGAAGTGTGAAATCAGAATTAAAAGCCAATTAGTACCTCTGGAGAAACTTGTAGTTTATTTTGTTTGGTGAGCCTTTAATGTTCAATTTCTGAGCATAGTAGACTTGATTGCATGCTGTCTTTTGGAAGTTCGTGTCTTAAGTTATCGCATGGCAGTGACACAAAGACATTTTTAAGGCCATATAGGAAGCATGGGCCTGCTCTGACTCACTCCGGAATTCCTTAATTCCAGTTATTCCTTAACTCCTTTTTTTTGTTTTTCATGAGAACACCGTTTGGTTGGTTTTCCATTCTGCGTCACAGAACTAAAGGAAACACATGCCATTTCTACTGCAATTGTATTTGTTATGGAGAAAATCCATACAAAGTAACATAGGGGTTCTTGCTATACAGGGTGAGACAGTGTCACTGATAGTATCTGGATGGTGGACAGTACCATCTGTTCCAAAAACACATGATCTCAAATCTTGGTTTTTAAGTAAAGCTGTATCCTAGGCGACAAATGCTTTGTTCAGTTTCTTAGTTAGTTACAACATTGCAGCATGGTCTTTAATAAGGGCAACTGTCTGCTATCAGGTGGGGGCTTTTAAGGTAGAGGAACTGCTGGTCAATTGCACTAACCATGAGGGAAGGCTTCAGGTATTTCTTTCAAACTCTATGCTTTAGAAAAGTTATTAGTCACTTGAGACAAGTGTCCATATATTACTTTTGTACAAGTGAATCAGCTTCAGAACTTTATTCCCACATGTCCTGAAGTATGAAGATGCCATACAAGAATCCTGAACGAACAGACACCGACGGTGTGGTGGGGATGGATGCTGAGGGAGAGAAGAGCAGATAGTTCTGTGCAAGCCATTGCACACAAGGACTCTGCAAACAGGATTGGTGACAAGACTGGCCCTCCTTATCCCCAAAATCCAGGATTATTTAAATGTGTTACGTTAGGCACATGCCTCAGTTTATTTCTATGATTTGGGATGATATTGACGCAGCACATTTTAAAGTGCTCAAAGTGGTATGCCAGAGTGGGAGCCCAAGCAACCACAGCATGGTATGCAGGAGTGCAGTTCATGTTCCAGAAAAAGAAGCTCTCGTACAACACACCCCTCCCGTGAATTTGTTGGCTGAGAGTAGCAGAGAGGACAGAGTTATTGTCAAAAGGCTTCAGCAGTCACCTGAAAATATTTTTCTGCTGAGAGTGCTTTGCAGATATTTAATTGTATCTGGCTGCTTTCTGACTTGATTCTCTGTCATTTGAAGTTGTACTTCGGAGATCGCATTGTCTGTTCTGTAACCGCAGGTAGCAAAAATTGTGGCTGTTGCTTCTGTCCAGCCACCATCTGTTAGCTGCTTTATAGCTGTGTGCTTTGTAAGTGATCTATCAAATGCCACCAAATATTTTTCATATGTGATCATTCTGTGCCCATCAATAGCAATAATGAAGATTGAAGGCTACATGAACAAAAAGCTGTAAATAAATGTGTGATATGTATGCCTGTAAATTAGCCTTCTTCATTCATGATTTTATTTCATAATTAAGTGAAACCTAAGCTCTCTGGCAGGAAATGGAGGATGATTCATATGAGCACTCGTGAATTCATAATCTCTTCTATTGGACATGAAGTCACTTTACCCATTTATCCATATGCTTTGCTACGCTCAACAGGTGCTTCATTTCACTGTTTTGTCTGATCCCACTCTGTTTTATTTCCCATTTTCCATGGAAGAAAAGCCAGCAAGACTTCTGAGTTCTTTGCTTTTTTGTTCTGTATGACTCATAGAGTTAAAAAAGCAGCCTGAAATCTGGGCTTTCTTAAAAATGGTTTTACAGTCATCAACAAAACGTGGGGTGGCCCTGGGATGACTGTAGCCCTGTGACTGAGCTGTGAGTTGGTCATTCTGGGATATATTTTCTATTTTTGTGTTTCTGAGCAAATGTAAAGTGTTCAGAAAGGTCCGCTTTGCTGTAATGGTGTGAAATCAGTATGCTTTAGCGATACAAGGTAAGAGCTTCTCAAAAGTACAAGCTAGAATGTAGTTCCTCTGAAGTATCTTGTCCTTGATGTCAAACAGAGCAGACAGGAGCCTATTTTGGGGGCTCATGTACTGGACATTACTGTGTGACTGTGCAGTATCTACTATTTATGTATTCCATTTACTAAGGCCAGATATCACACTGAAATCCTGTATGCAACTACTTGGATTCATTTTGAAGTCATTTTTTAAGTGCATTTTTGTGGAGCTTGCCTCGAATACTCCAAAGCTTTGTTTTCGTTGCTTTCCTTTTCTAGAGAATTTTCTTCCATTTTCTTCTGTTCACCGATACTTTTTCATATGCAAACCATATTGCAGTGCTAGAAGTCAGCTGAGGTGTGCAAGCATGTTTTTCAGTTGTCATGGAATGTCTTGCTGACCATCATCTAGTTTTCCCACTTTGCAACAGTAGCAGAATAAAATTGTGACACTTTTTGCAGCTGTGATGTAAGCTTTATCTTGGTTAGTTTTGTTCCATGATTTTCTTTCTACTTAAGCCTGCATCACACGGGTATGGAGAATTTGGCTGATCCATCTTTCTTCTTCTGCAATGAAGTTCTTTCGTAAAGAACTTTCAAAACTGGATAATTGAAACTACTGTGTTATTTAGAGAAATCTTTGCTGATTAAAATTGTCCTTATCTTTAACCTTGTGTATTGGAGCAGGTCTAGAAGGGCTTCCTAATTCATGCAGCTTCCTCTTTGCAGTACCTAAGTGAGGCTCTCTGTAATTAATGCTGTCTTTTCCCTTCCTGCAGAAGAGGGTACTTCAGGTAGCCTGGAGCAGAGATGAGGCAGCCCTAGCTTGTCTCTGTCAGGCTAAACACAGGCCTTGTTGGAACCTCTGTGACTGTGCACGCTCATAGGCTCCTCTGGTAA